ATTTTTTATTAAATGTTATATGTGGGTCCATCTTCTTACATGAATTCATTGTAAATTGATTCCCTGATGGAATCCTTAGCAAAATATGCTCATACCACATTTCTTCAAATTTAAAACAATAAAAATCTTTTTGAAATTCATAATCTGGAGTGTTTTTTTTCATATATTACTATTAATTAAGCACTCCAGATTATGATATTACTTTTGATTAAGCACTCCAGATTATGATATTACTTTTGATTAAGCACTCCAGATTATGATATTACTTTTGATTAAGTAATCTAGACTACAATATTTTAAAAAAATGAATATATTAGCTTTCAACAGTGTTAGCTCTTCTGAAAGTTTTTATTTTTTTGTAGTTGATTTCTACTCTACTTTCTATTTCAAATCAACAACTTATTCACTTACATCTGGGCTTTATTTTAAGGGACAAATTAATATCATCATTTATAAGTTGTGTTCCTTCAGGACATATACAATCATGGCTCTCCACAGCTTCCCATCTTTTGTATTTCTAAGCAACATTTGATTTGCTACCATACTTGGGAAAAATTTTCCTTCAACCATACCTAATAAACTATAAAATTTTCTTTCAACCATGAAGAATGATAAATCTTACTCCCAACCATACTTGAACTATAAAATATGTTTACAACACAATCAATTTAGCTCTAAATGACCCACAAGAGATTGAAGGGCCCGTTAAACACAATCAATCATTGCTATCTCTTCTTGTCTCTGCTATGCCATCCATTCATATAAACTCTTTAGGTAAGTTGCTTACTGTTTCTCTCAACCCCTTCTACCCTCAATATATCCTGTAAGTATTAAGTTTTCTAAGCTGTCTTTCCTCTTAATGTGTCCCAGAAGTTAAAATTATTAAGCTTAAATTTTAAGCAGTACAATCAGATACTGTTTCATTCTCTTCCACTTCCCAAATTCCATGAGTGGCTTCAGTGAGTCTGAGATGCAGGTTAAAATAAAAAAAAATTACAGAATATCAATACTTTTATCTGCTATTATAACATCTAAAAAAAAGAAAAAAAAAAACATTATTTGATATATATATATATATATATATATATATATATATATATACAGTGTAACCTCATATAAGAGAGATTTTCTCTGGTCCCAAATTAGAGCCTGTGTTAATGTATATAAAATAGACCAAACCCGGATATAAGAGACTTCTTCTCTGGTCCCGACAACTCTCTTATATCCGGGTTACACTGTATATAGATATATCAAGTACTTTTTTTAGATGTTATATATATATATATATATATATATATATATGTGTGTGTGTGTGTGTGTGTGTGTGTAAAAATGTATTATGTAAGTAATGAATAAAAAGAAGTAAAAAATAAAATTCAAGTTTCACCCTCAAAACTGAAAGATCAAAGATTAAACCTGGCCTGATAGTTCTTCAATTTTGAGGGTGTAACTTGAGTTGCCTCAGTTTTATTTTTTAGTCTATATTTCTTACATTTTATAGGTTCTACTTTGTATTGAGCACTTTTTGTATTGATTGCATTTTGTTATATAAGAATCAGCAACATTATTAGTCCTGACCTGGAGTCTCGACTTCAGTTACTTTCCCACTGAAGTAATGTAACTTCACCATGCCTTTTCTATATATACTTCCATGATAATTGTTCAGATGGACTCTCCGCTATGATACTAAGACTTTTTAAATTTAAGCTTAGTGTTAGATTGGCAACAAGGTCTCATCAAATTTAGAGTTGAATTGGCTAGATGTAACTAAGTTCTATGCTAACAGTTTCTTTTCTCAAACTTTTCACTTGTGAAAGTCTCTTCTGGCTCCATGCTTTCCAGCAAAGTTTAATCTTCAAAAATTTAAATGCAATATCAATCATTAGCTACCATTTTTTTAATTACTCTTTGTCTATTGTTCTCACACCTTAATAATGTTTCTCTTTTTTCTTCTTTTTTCACACTCAGTAACTCTTTGTGTTTTTACTACCTTGCTTGGAGTGAAATGATTAAATTTATATATATATATATATATATATATATATATATTCTATAATATAAAAAATGTGACTATATATTTAATCACCATACATCTTGATTGCATCTACTTACCATAACAATAAAATATCTCTTTGCTAACTGAAGGCATTAACTGCCACCAATAAGCAAGCATATCTCGTTACCATAACAGAATACTTCATTTGTCAGTAAGGGAGATCAGGCTGTGGTTACACTGCTTATTGTTTCATTTGTTTTGTGTTAGCTTTCTTTGTATATTTTTATTTTCAATGATTTTAAAAAGCAGAATTCTTTCATACATGACAAAAACAGAGTTAATTTAAACATAGTATAGTTTGACGATAATCCTTTGTTTAAGCATGTTCTATTAAAGTGAACAGCTTGACTCAGAATATAACAAATAATTTTGTTATGTCCTTTACAAGTTTCTACCTGACATTAAACAACTTAACCAACGCATAGTGTCCCTATGACCCTACAGGTCACGGGATAAACAAAAAAAATAAAATAAATTGCAAAAGATACATGAACACATTTTGTAATGCATCCAATAGTAAAAATTTCTACAAACCAGACATGTATGAAGTGCTAGAGAACTACTCAGAGTGAGCTAATTTCAACAAATCCAACAGGCGTGAAGGACATCAATACAAAAAAAAAAAAAAAACACTTTCTCATTTTGGCACTGATAACCTAATTTATTTCCCCTTTCCTAAAAAAAAAATCCAATTCACTTACCTTACACACAAGTTTGTTTTTCATCCAGACTTGATGATGCCTAACTAGCACATGAAGGTGAAACACGTCTGTAAAAAGTTTTTCCACTTTGTACCATTATCTCCACTTTTATTCAGATACTATTCTATATCCTAATGCACACACACACCAGAACAACATTAGAAAATTAATGACAAAGTGGGAAAATTTTCTTCCACAACTAAGATTGAAAAGAATTTATTTAAACTTAACATAAAAAAATTCTTCCACAACTACAATTGGAAAGAATTTATTAAAGTTTAACATAAAATTTATTGCAACTAATTCTAAAACAATTTTTAAAAGTAAGACTTAATTAATTCAAAACAAAATAATAAGCTAAAACTTGAAAGAGGAGTTTATGCTATCAGTTGTAATAATTGCCACTAGAAATACATAGGAGAAACCTCAAGGAATTTAAATAAAAGATTATATGAACACAAAAGGAGTCTTTTACAAAACAGCACATTCAATGCATTACTTGCTCACCAAAGTAAACTTGACCATAATTTTGATTTAAAAAATGCTACTTTAATTAAAAGAGAAAGCAATTTACTAAAACAAAAGTGTGTAGAAAGTGCTTTAATCACAAGATTATCCATAGTAAATTTGTGTCCAGGTTCTGACATTTCTCCTTTCTATTAATAACAAAAGTGATAAGAACAAACAAAACAAAAAAAGAAAGTAAATGAAATTGGTTAGACTTTATACCAAAAAACACTAAAAAATTTCATTTAAAAGCTTAAAATTTCAACGTTGCCCCCGCACTTCATGTGCATGTTAACGTAAACATTACTTTAGTTCAATGAAGTCCTAAAAGATGAAAAAGTCACACAAAAAATTTTTTTCACACTTTATCATTAATTTTATATATATATATATATATATATGAAAATATAAAAGAACATTTTTTCCATGTTTTTAAATCATTCAGTAGATGTTATCTTTAAATAACTGGTTAGTAAAGAAAACATCGATATTGTTTCAAATCAACAGATGACCAATAAAACTGCAAATGAAAAAAAGTAGTAAAAAGGACAAAGAATTTGAATATACTAAAATACATTTTTTTATAAAAAATAGTCTTTTATTTTACAATAATAGACAAAAATAAAATAACTTACCACTTCAGTGTTAAAAATATATAAATTAGAATGCATTCAGGATACTTATATATATATATATATATATATATATATATATAAAATAAAAAAGACATTTCACTCCAACAATATTCTGACAAGGTAGAATGAAAATGAGCAAAGGTAAAAGAAGACGAAAACTCTACACACTGCATTCTTACATTTCCTTTTTAGAATTGGCATCTCTTCCTGCAGAAATGATCAAGAAATTAAAACTGAATATTTTTAATGTAAATACAAATTCCAATTTCAAGCATTCACTTTATAAATCTAACTTAGTAACTTTGTCACGGTCTGTTATAATGTTTCTTAAGCGATGAAAACACAAAGAAATGACTGCAATACTTAAAGTAGAATGGGTTGTGAGATATAAGGTGAAAAGTATTGCTTTACAATGACTGCCTTGGTTTAGAGGAATATATTAGAGAAAATTACAAAATGTAAGCTGTCAAAGATTGGATTGAAAAGTGGTATATTATTTATAAGTTCAATTATTTAGGCCAGTATCCTTATTTTTGGTGTATGATCATCATATTATGACTGCTTTTTTCTCAAGCTAGCCTCATGTTTTTCTTTTGTTTGTTTTTCCTTCCAAGTTTTCAAGTAACAGTTTCAGTCTACATTTTTAATTACAAATGTAATCTTTTGCTGCTTGGACCTGGGAAATGTTTTAATTGGACATTGGGATGAAAAATTAGAAAAAAAAACAAAAACAAAGTAATTGTGAATGAGACAATGGAATTTGTTTAAAACTCCTTGGAGATTAATGTGTGCAGCATACATCTAAAGAAAGGTCAGTGAACTTGCTGGTTAAAATGTCATGATTGAAAGGAAGGGGGGCAAAAAAAAGAGTCTGAATAATTTATAGAACAATGGCAAATAATTCCCCACAGAATTTCATGCCACACTTTAGTGATTAGACATATTCCCATTTTGGACTCTCAGTGGTTTGAGACCATTCCCAGAGATGATCAAACCTTGTTTCTGGAGACTTTTAAGTATGTTGAGGATTGAGTCCAGCTCTACTCGATAATTTTCAATATCTTGATTTTTGCTCTCTGCAATTTGCTTCCATTTGTTTACCTCTTTCTCTAATTCAGGTGCCTGCAATTTCATGCCATTCTTGATGATATTCTGTAATTCTTTTTCCCTGACAGAGTGCTTATTTTCAAGCTCTTGGATTTTGCTCACAAGGTTCTCAAAGTGGCGCCGATCCTAAAAAATCAAAACATAAATTAGGTTGTACAAAAATATTTCAAATATCTATTTGTTTCATATTTATGGTTTTATTCTTCTTTTACTAATATTCAACCCACATGTTGTGCTTATTTACTTGGAGAATAAGTAGATATATTGGAGTCTAGGCTGGATGAGAAAACCCTCACAGCAAACTAATGAATAATCAAAAACAAGATACTGTGCTGCAGACTCCACTCATAATTTCCATTTGAAATATACATAAAATTAGAATTTAAATTTTAATATATTTCAGTCAATCACAATCTTTCCTGGCAAAAATGGAAATCCCATTTCTGATCCACATGGAATGTATAAATTCAGTTGAAAATAGTTCTTACATGAGTGTAAATTTGACCGCATGATGAACAGGTCATCTCTACTCCCTTATCACCACAGAGTCTGTAGATAGTGAGAACATCATTTCACCCTCAGCAGATAAGTTTGGTTGTAGACACCATTAAGTTTGCAAGGATGCATTTGTAATCTTGATTAATATAATTTGTACAAATAATAAGTCAGTTGCGTTCTATTCTTTTATTATTGCTATGTCTACATCCGTCATGTGGGAATCTTATATGGGGTCCACTCCAATTACCTATAGGATACAAGGCGAATATTCAGCTTAAAGAAAGCAGTCAACCCATTTATTTTCAAGCCTGATATTTTACAAACTTAATGAAAATTAATATTTTGGTGCTTAATGCAAATTTACTTTAATATTGCAGACTTATTGTGATTAATTACAGATTGTGGCAGACTTAACTGCGATTTTGCAAATTTACCTTGATATTTGACAACTTAAATAAATGTTGTTCAGATTTACAAACTTTTACAAATATTTTACCATCTAAAAATTGTAATTCAAATTTTTACAACTTATTTGATATTTGCTCACTTAACACAAATTAAATATAGTTTGTGATCTTCTAACTTCACTTTGAAATTCGTTTTCAGCTACATTTTACAAATCTAAAAATTGTAATTAAACTTTTTACAACTTATTTGTTACCTGTTGCATTTGAACTTTCAATCTTTTACTGAAAAAATATATTTTTACCAGGCAAGAAATTGTTTATGCCTTACAAGAAAAGGAGAATAAATTCCAGGAAATACAATCAGTATTTGAATAAATATAAATGTTTATTTAAAAAAAAATGCTGAAGAAGTATTATTTAAAAAAAAAAAAAAAGGATTGAGTGTCCTACTATGAAAAAAAGCAAATCTATTCATTGTTTGAATATTTAATATTATGTTATGTTAATATTATTTGAATTGTAATTTAATAAGTGACTTTGTTATATGATTTAAAAAAAAGAAGAAAAAATGGGAAGCAGCTATAAAGAAGTAAAGGGTCTTAAAGCTCTATTAAAACTAAGAGTCTGCTAAAATAAATATAAATATTAAGTTAGAAACTATAAATGAGAGAAGATTTAATGAAAGATGTATTTTTGGACAGTAAATTAGCAATAAGTAAGTTACTTTCTAAGATTTCAGAAACTAACAATAAAATGACCAAACTTTGCATGGATACAGAAAAAGGTAGTGATCAAATGGGATTAATGGTAGATTTAAGGGATGATAACATATATAAAGGTGATATTAACACTCGATTAACAGTTCTAAAAAAACATTTTATTTCCAGTGACAGTATGTCATTTGAAAACACTAGAACTCAAAGTAGCAACAACAATGGTGAATACCTTTAATAACGGTCAGTTTATGCCATTACCAAAATTACAGGCTTGATACCATGAAATTTGAATACAAATTCTTTTTGGCTTAATTTCAGAACTGTGTACATCATGTACAACCTGATAGAGATAAGTTAGCCATTTTAAAAAGTTGTTTAACAAGCAGTTAGTGTCCCATTTAACCTTAGAAGATGAAAACTTTAACATTGCAATAAAATTGTTAACTAAAGAATTTTTAGATGTACCATACATAATTAATGAGATATTTAAACAGATACTGACAACCCAACCTAAATACGATGCTGAATTTGTGAATGTAAAACAATATTTAGCAGAAGTTTGTGCCAATTTGTCCAAACTTAAAACTTCCTATGGGTTGGATATTTTTGACGGTGACATGCCAGGTTTGAAACTGGTCAGTCATATTGTATTTGAATGGCTTCCTCACAATTTTAGGTGTGAAGTCATACATTAAGCGGGAACTAGTTACCTAACTCTTAGCAACATATTTGAACATAGCAATGATGCTATCAGAACTATTTCTAAAATGAAAAGAATTAATCATAATGAAATCTCAAAATATAAACATAATATTAGAGAGAAGGAAGGTTCTGTGGCAGCTCTACAGAATTTCTCCACAAACTACAATGATATGCATTGTAGATTGATATACAGACAACGGGGATATCAGATAACTAAATTCCAAGTCTATCTCAAGTTCTGCTTATATAAATGTAAGTTAATGAATCTATGTGCTAAGGCCATAGTCAATCCATAAAACAAATTGTACCATAGGCATAAAAAGGGACATCGAATTGACTTTTCCATGCAAATTTTTTTTTGTTAAGGAACATATAACAGCATTGTATGTTAAAATTAAAAGGTATAAGTTCAAAGTATAAAAAAATAACTGCACCTGTCAAAAGAATAAATTGCCTTATCCATAGTAAAAATTGTTCTTGTAGGGAAGTAGAAAAAGGACAATGGTCAATTGATTATTAAACACTGATAGTCAGCGTTCATACTTTTCGAACAAAATAATTAAATGGCTAAATTACCTTTTATAGGGCGTTAAAAAAAGTGGATTTTCAAGTTAAAACATACTTAGGACAAGCTAACAGGTGATTTAATCAGCTTGTACTGGATATTGAGATGGAGGAGGCGAGGCAACTTCCTTTGCCTGCATTAATTGATAGCGAATTTGATATCTTAAAAATTGATGAATTGTTTGAACAAAAGATTATCCTTTTCAAGAAATAAACATGGCCAGGTCAATATCTTAGGATTAATAGGTGTTGACATATTTCAATTCATGCATTCTACCAAACTTGTTAAATCTATGAGGGGTTTAGCATGGCAATTACCTTTGGAGAGATTAATCATTTTCTATATGATCATCAAATAAAACCAGTAAATTTTAAGACTACAGTTAGTCAAAACAATTATCATACTATTGTAAGGGACTTAGCCAAATGTCCGGAGCAAGAAGTAACTTTTGTATTAAATCCAAAAGACACCTACCTCGATAACATACCTGATAATATGTCTCTAGTAGAAAGCTATAGATATGTTAGAGGTCTCAACTATTACGGAAATAGATAAAAATAACTGGGCACCTAGGCAAGCTTGTTTTGCTAACAATTAGAGGTAGATCTCACTGGATACCCCATACTTTTGGTGTTGTGTCAATAGACGATAAAATTATAAGTTCATATGACAAAAAATAAAATAAGGGATCTAAGAAAATGAATATTCTGTGGATCTACCGTGGTATGAGGACAAAATCAATTCTGTTCCATTTAATTATTTTAGTTATCTGAACTTCAAAGAACAATACAGTCTCTTGAACATAAAAATCTGTGTAAAGATTATAACGAAGTACTCTTTTAGCATGAAAAAGAAGGCATTATAGAAAGAATATACATACCATCAGAAGAGTATGAAAAATGTGTTTGGATTCCACATAGGCCTGTGTTCAAAATGGAATCTCAAGTTATAACAAAAATTAGACCAATTTTCAACTGTTGCCTTAAAATGGAGGGCAAGTGCTCCTTGAACAAGGCTGCTTATTAAAGGATAAATATGATCAACAATATGATCAAGTTATTGTTAAAATCTAAAACAAATAAGTGTATTATGTTAGGCCACATAAAGAAAGCCTTTCTAATGATTAAACTTAAAAGGGACAAATTCTGTTTCTTCATAAAAAATCAAGACAAATTGTTGTCCTTTAGATACAACATCTTGATTTTTGGTTTACTGCAAGCCCATTTATTAACTACATTTTAAAATATTATTTAGAGCATTACCAGCTTGATGAATGTACTGAAACGCTCAAAAATAACTTTTATGTAGATAATCTACAACAAACTAGAAATCATCTTGATAAAATTATCAGCTTGTATAAAAATGTGGTTGATAGACTCAAGGAAGACAATTACAACCTATGCTCTTGTAACACTAATAGTAAAGAGCTTAAATCAATTATGGTAAAGGAAAATACCATCTCTCAACATGAAGATTATGAAAAGATATTAGGATATAACTATTGTCCTAACAATGAAATGATGACAGTGACGAAGATCACAATAAACAGAAATGTGAGGACTAAAGGCAGATATTAGCCCAGAATTTTTGACCCATTGTCATTATATGTACCTGTTACTATAAGATCGAAGTTAATCTTAAGGAAACTTTGGCTTATAAAATCAAACTGGGATGAGGAAATTCCCAAGATTATGTTTGAAACATAGTCTGCCTTAGCAGAAGACTTGTCTACATTATTTGACATCTTTTCTTGGGTCAGCTCCCCAAAGGAGGCCTTTGAATTTAAATATTTCTTGGATAATGATGTTTATACTTTATACAATGCAAAATGGGAATTTGATGGCAAAGGAAAAGTAGCTCCATTAAAAAAAAAAAATCCATTCTTACCATGGAATTATTGGAAATAAAATATCCTCTATTATTTTTGAAATCATATTGAAATGTTATGATTGAAAATTCCTTAATTTTGGATACTGTTCTACTATCATGGTTACTTAGAACACCTAAAAAAAAAACCTCTTTGTCAATAAAAGCTTTATTACTCTCTTCTTAATGATCCCTTAAAAAAAAGACAAAATTTAAATCCTCAGCGAGAAACCCTGAGACCTGATTTTCATGAGGAGTTAACCACAACCAGACCATTACTAAATTGGAGTTCTTTCACATGGTCCATCATCCAACAAAAGAATTTCTGGCCTACATTCATTTGTTCAAAAATTAAAAAAATGTTGTGAGGTCAGAATTATTTTTGACACTACTACCAAGGTGGATTAAACTGTAATAAACATACAGAGATTTGTCTACACTTACAAATTATAAATGCAACAGTTCTGGTGCTGAAATTTACCAGTTTGAGAAAATCATTAGGATGCAAAGTTATAATCATTCAATGCAGAAGAAATGTTTGAAAGATAATTAAAGTATTTGAGAGATTTCATAAAGGTGAAATCCCCCAAGTTGGTGGAAAATTTAAACATCTTCTGTTAAAGATCCCACAGAATAGACAATACACCGGCCCATATTATTGGCTAAATATCATTACATAACGAGACTAATTATTGAAGATGCTCATCATCAATGTAAAAACTTGGGAGTTAACCATGAAAAGATAAGATTATCTAGATATTGGATAACTCAAGCAAGTCAAGTCGGGGATATATCTGCAAATGCTACAACAGTCTAGCATTTAGATATCCCAGACTCACCAAACTATCTAAACACAGAGTGAACTTAATAAACTCATTTCAACATACAGGGGTGGATTACACTGGCCACATATGGGTAGAAAAAAAAGAAAGCAACAAAGATATATTTATTGATATTTATGTGTTTGAATGTACGATCAGTACATATTGAAATTGTACCAGATATGGGCACTATGCCTTTCATTCAAGCCTTAACATGTTTTACCAATCTTTATACCAAGCCACATATACAGTGATAATGCTAAATCATTTAATGCTGCCTTGAGCAAAAATATTATTGATATTCACATAAATAATAAATTGTTTGCTGACACTTTTGCAAGTACAACAATAAAACACATAAAATTAACTCTTTATTCCCTATGGGCAGGAAGTGTCTGGGAGTACATGATCAAAGCAATAAAAATCAGCCTCTTTAAAACAATTAGAAGATCAAAAATTAATTACTATGAATTATTGACATTATTAACAGATATACAGAGGTCAATTAATTCTAGACCCTTGATGTATAGATGCTCTTTGGCCAAGAGGCTCATCCCATTAACACCGACTTCATTCATTAACTCAAATATGAATGTAGAAATAGAAATACAACAGAATATACTAATTAACAACAGTACTGAACCAACAAGAAACCAACTGAAAGAGTCTCACACAGAGGAACTATCAGAAAAAATTAAAGAAAATTGGTATGATGAATATTTACTCAATTTTAGAGAAGGGTGCAAAGAACTGTATGAAATAGATTATCACAGTAAAAAACAAAGTTGATGAAGTTGTGCTAATTAAGAACCCAGCTAAACCCAGACAATTCTGGTAACTGGGCAGGGTCAAAAAATTACATTTGAGAAGTGATGAAAGGGTTGGCTCAGCTGACACGAAAGGAGATGAGTCAGTGGAGATACACTTATTTCCATTGGAATTGTCCCTGACCCATAACCATGACCCAAAGATACCCCCAGAAGATGCATCAAGACAAAAAAGAAAGGCCCATGTCAGGCCTAAAAGAAAAAATAAAAGTAATACAGTCTCTGATTTTGTTTACTATTAATATTACCAAAATAAAATAAAGTAATTAATATTTTCTGTACTAACAGAAGAGTATAGCCAGAATAATGCCAAGGAATCCTAGGGTAGTCTGCCCACAAGGTTCCTAATCTTTTTATATTTTTGGTACTAATCTTTCTTATCTCTGAATATTTAATGCAGTTATCATTGAAAATTGAATATCACACTAACAAAGTGATTAACTCTGAACTCTGGTGACTTACTTATTGAAATGTACACGTTGACTATATAGTTGTATACGAAAGTGCATTTAACTAGGTAACACGCACTGATGCTCAGTGAATGTTTTCTTCTTTGTTGGGAATATATAAGAAATAAGATATTATATGATTATCTGCTCTTGGCAGTTTAAAGTTAGCCAATCATTTCACAGCTGCTGATTGGTGCATTTTCCTACCTTTTTTGAACAACTCTTTATTCTTGGTACCAAGCTTCGGAATGACAACATGCTGAACAGGACATCTCTACACCCTTATCAAAAAAAGTCCATAGATAATGAGAATATCAACTCACCCTCATCAGATAAGATTGGTTGCAGACACCATTAAGTTTACAAGTACCCATTTGTAATACTGATTAATTTGTACAAATCATAAGCCTGTTGCGTGCTATTCTCTTATTATTGCTACACCTGCATCCGTTATAAGTGGGAATCTTGTATGGGGTTCATTCCAATTGCCCATACTATTAACTTCATCATCTTTTATGTTCAGTAAAAGAAAGTACTGCAGTGTATTAACCTCCAATTCTCTTTCATTTTACAATTATTTAAGGCTATATGACTTTCACTGTTACTGATTTTTTATTGAAATTAGCAAAGATGTTAGAATTTAACTTTAAATACAGTCTTATTGGTTCAGCAAGAAAGCAAAATATTGTAACTGCTTATAAACATAACTTGACAAGTTAGGAATTGCTATGTAAAAGATTTATACTTACTGGGCTGTATGATGCTTTGGCTTCTTTAAGCTCATCTTCCAACTGTTGCACCTGATTTTCCAGAACCACTTCTCGAATCTTAAGGGCTGACAATTTCTCACTATCAACTTGAGTACTAGCCAGCTGCTCTTTTAAATGATTTATCAATATCTAACAGAAAAATATTGAAATATAAAATGATGAACTGTAATGTTACTGAATCACATTGTGTGTGTGTGTGTGTGTGTGTGTATATATATATATATATATATATATATATTTCAAATGTACTTTCTTGTCACAAGAGTCAAATAAGAATTCACAAAATTTACTACATGAGATGCTAACCAAAAATTTGAAAGATTTTAACAGTACACACAAACTGAATACAGTACAGACATTTGCTATTACTCTTTGTGAAATCACTGTATATGTGACCAGGGGAACTATTTTGAAGGAGATGGTGGAAACTAAGTATTATGGTTGTTAGTTTTACATGGTCAAATTCCGTGAACTTTTGTGTAGTGTGTCACATATATTTATGTTATTTTGCAAATTCAAGAAAAGATAAACATAGGAAATTTACTCCAACACCCAAAAATATTAGCCTTGAGGCTTTATTGCGTTTGAAGCATTCATTGTTTTCTTACATAATTTATCTTTATTTAAAATCAAACAAAATATTAAAAGTTGATCCTGAGCTTGTCCATTTCTTAAATAGAAAATTGTTTATGTGCCCTGACACCACAGACAGCAAAACAAATGCACTAGAAACTCAATTTCAATTTATTTTGTCTATTTTAGAACCTACTTTATTTTTCAATTCAATTTTACTCGCATATAATTTTGTTTTGTATAAATTCAATTTTAATCAACATTGTAATATCAATGTAAAGAAATATTGAACTTGTAATGATTTCTTTAAGGAACCAAACTCAAGATGGTCACTAAAACAAATTCCGTTATGATTTGCATGATCCTGAAATGAAAAATTGGTAGGATTTATTCTTACTTGTTGGGCATCGACTTTACTTAAAAGCTCAGGAACTTGATTTGTAGAATTCTGCAAAGTTTGCTCTGTCAATATCCGTTGAAGTTCTCGCTGGTGAGAAAGTCTCAAAGCATCAATCTGTTAAGGCAAGAAAAATTGTACAAAACCAGTGACAAAATTTCCAAATGCTACAGTTATGGAAACTAAAAATGTCAACTGCTGACAATGATATTTTTGATTCTAACTCCTCAATGTATTTCATTATTTTTAGTGCATAATGACATGAAAATTAACAGGTGGCCTATATATGTATTTTAGAAGAAACTTTTCTTGTTCTTTACTCCTCTTGTAACCATTTCCTATCAACTTGGATGTATCATGGCCAACTATGTCTTGGATGTATCATGGCCAACTAATAATATACGACCACACATGTCACATGACAAGCTGAATTCTAACAGGTTGATGCAATGTATAGAAAAAAATGTGAATGGCCACTTAGAAAATTTCTAATCTAAAAGAAACTTTAAAAATTGAATTCTTAGAACATAAATTAACAATGTACAGTTATGTAGAATTTATCAGACGTTATTTCAATTCGCTAGACATGTTTTCAACACTAAAATGCATATTTACACTTTTTTTTTCTAATCCACGAATTATAAACAGCTGTGAGTTATCACACTTTTATGATTTTCAATTGTGTATATGGCTCGTTTGGCAAATGGATGTTATTAGGTAAATTTTCTACTTCATAGACCATTTCATTTACAGATTAAAGTTTGTTGTGATATTTTGTTTTACAAAAATGGTTAACAAATGTGTTGCATTTGTCTATTCTAGTGGATATGTTTCTAACAGTGAAAAAGTATTGACATTTTCTTTTCCTCTTGGAAAATTCGATCCCATAGAAAAATGGATAAAATTTGTTAATCATATTGATTGGTTTCCTACGAAAAATTCAGTTCTATGTATGAAACATTTTGAAGATAAATTTATTTTGAAAGGGAAATGAAACAAAATTAATTGGAATTTACAACCAATACCTACAATACATTTGGGAAAAATAAGAAAACCGTCTCTTTTGTCAAATACATGTAAATTCAGAAAGTCTCCAAAACAATGATTTTACTCATTTGGAAGAAGCAAAGTGTTGCCCTAACAGTTTTGAATTAAAAAAAAAAGGAAAATTATATTCTAATTTATAGAATAGTCTTTGATGCTGAAACACATTTTCCATCTATAAAAGAATGTATTCACATTGACTAAAACCTTCACATCCAACTCCAGTGCAATGGAACTCCTATACTATTACTACAGTGGTTTATACATGGACAAAATGCTAACTTCATAAGATTTAGCATGTTAAAAAATTTTCCAAGCTACATAAAAAACGTGTAGGAAGACTATGTAAAAAACATAAATCATACTCAATTCTAAAAGAATTACAAAAAAGAGGTCATCCTTCATTTTGTGCAGAACTAATATATTATGCCATACTACTGCCCTGTACGTCTCAACAAGCCTACAAATTACTTCTGGAAAAATTTCCATTACCATCTTATTCTTTATTAGAGAAAATTAAAAAAATTAATTAAAAGTTTTCAATGTGAAATGTGTTCCCTGGTCATGATAGGCAATGACAGTGATGATGCTACAGAGAAGCAGTACTTTGACTTACTTTCTTGAGGTCTTATAGTTCCATCTAGCCAAATGGCAGAGTTCATTTGTGCTTGTTTTGCTATACTTGACTATGCAGATAAATTTACTGAAAAACATAATGAATCCACTACAAGAGAGTCTGCTGAAAGAATTTTGTAAACTTATTTTCCAAAATATGTTTTTAATTGTGAACAATACACTGAAAAAAGAATTCACTTTGCAGCAAAAATTGTTGGGATTATATTTTACAACAAACGAAAATTTTCATTGGATGAAGTTTGAAAAAATATTGTAGGATGTTTTAAAAAAATGCGAAGATCAAAAGAAAATTGATTTATAGAGAAATTGTTGGAAAGTTTCTTTACTTGTATTTGTTTTGCATTATTAAGTCTTTAATAACTTTTTTGTTTGTTTACAATATTTTATTATTTTTTGTTTAAAAAAGAGAAAAAAAAAACTGTTTGTACATTTTTGGATAATTATAACATTTATAACATGTTTTAAATAAAACAGATATAAACTGACTATAAACCAAATAGGCCTGTTAGAAATTAGCTTGAAATGTGACATGTGGGGCTGTATATATTAGTGGGCCATGGATGTATGCATAAAATACATTTCCCAAGTAGATGCACACTGAATTTTTTATTCATTAGATAAGTAAAATATTACAATTTTAGATATAATCAAGTGGTAATGTAATGGCCAAGAGATAATTGAAATGAAGAACATAGTACATGTTTCATGTAGGTGAAAAGGAGTGCCAGAGAAGAGTCTTGTATATGATAAACAGCAATAGTGAAATAAATAACAACTGGGAGGTTCTGATCAAAAAATCATAAGTCCAAGGACATAATTTCAAAGGTCAAATATAAGTTTCACAAGTGCCACTACAGAAAATACTGAGTCTGAAAATCAAAAGGGTAAAAAGATTCCATCACAACCCACAACTACTTCTTCAACCATGAAGAGCCAATAACTGTCCTGTGGTCCAAAGTAGAGTCCTTTTATTAAGGTAAGAAAGGTTGTGATTGGTCAAGACTAATAGGGAAGCTCAAACAATTACCATATTTTGAGGTCTACTAAATTTGCTTCAATCTTTAATTATTTCTTTTTCTACAGATAGCACAAAGAGCACAAATCCTTTTCTGAGGTAAGATTCGGTTTTCTCCCTCGTCACCCCAAATAGATACATGTATATTAGATTATCTAAGTATTTGCCTCATGTGCATCATAAACATAGATGCTTAAATACTGTACAGTATATAAAGTTGAAAAATCAAACAAAAGCATTGGTTAGACAGACTTTTGTAACTACACTAAGTTAGTGATTATAAACTCACTTCCACCTCCAATACTTACCATTTTATGTAACACAAACTCAATGAGAATACAAAATATTTGTATGTTTCATAATCAGGAGTTCAGTAGCAAAGTGTCTATATATGCAATGCAGGCTTTTGTCTTTTTTTCCTAGGACAAATGATTTTTTGTATAATAAAAAATTAATTATTGTTAATTTTTACTATATTCCTTGAATTTTGATAATGTTTAAAAAAAATTTTTCTTAGGACAAATTGTAAATGTGGAAAAACTGAGTAAAAGAAGGATTAGAGGTGAAGGTTCTTGTTCAAAGAAGTAAAAAAAAAAACAAAAAAAACAAAAAAAAATAACATAACTTTTCTTCCTTTTGAAGATGAAAGTAGAGATGTGGTGCCAATACTTTCTATAACAAAGTGATTGATAAATTTGACAAAAAGAAATGTAAAATGGAATTAATTTACAAAAAATAAGTTTTAATATATCATTATTTGTTGATTTTGTAGTAGAATTGTTCAAGACAATATGTATTGCTTATCAGTAAGCTTTAATAAACTCTGCATATCAGCAGAGTTCTCCTGAATATGTGTGTTCAGAACAGATTCATCAATGGGGGAGATGAATCATACCACAGATTTTAGTATTTTCTCAGATTTTTCTTGTAACCATTAATGGTCACAATGGACTGTATGTTCTAGTTTCAATGTCACTCTTTGAAACTACAGGAATTCTTGAACATATCTATGGTAGCATATATTATCAAATAAAAGAACAAACTGCTAAGCTTGCATTAATTTTCCTGTATTTTGAAGATTTTAAAAATTATATTCTGTATATAATGGAGTTTAATTGAAGTCAGAAATAGTGTGCAAACATACAGGGTGTGATAGATAAATTGTCGTCTAAATTGCACTAACATGAAAATAACACTGATATCTTATTTTAACTGATATATTTACCAAAATTACACAAAAATATCTTTAAATACTAAAAAGTAAATTTATTCAATAAAATCACCATTGGCTTCAAACACAAACTCCAGACAACTTCAGAATCTCCTGCAACTCTTCACGGTGGTCTCCTTGTTTAAGTTGGCAAATACTGCCATAATCCTTGCCTCCAGTTTATCTTTGGTACTACAAGGTTTTTTGTTGGTTTCTTGCTCAACTGTGCCCAACACATAATAATCAAAGGGGTTGCAGTCTGGAGAGTTAGGTGGCCAGAAGTAGGGGGTGAGGTGATCGCAGAAATTGACTGACAGCCATGACTAGGTTCTCCTGCTTGTATGGCATGGTGCAGAATCCTGTTGTCAGATATAGGGTCTTCCAGCAACCACCCTCTTGACCCAGGGCAGCACTACTTCCTCAAGGCACTTGATGTAGGCATTCATGTTGAGTCTGAGACTTTGTGGGAAGATGAATGGAAGCATAACATCACCATCACTAGTGATCACTCCAAACACCTTTGTAATTACCATTAGACTCATCCAAATCTTTCCAAATCCTTTGCACTGTCCTCAGATTGACACCCAAACACTCTGAAATGTTCATATTGGAGCTACTGACACGAATACTAAGCAGTACATCATGTTGTTTACAAATTTCTGGCAGAGTGAATTGCATCATGGTGCTGTTTTTCTCACAGATGGTGCCCAACTGACCCAACTATACTGTGCAGTCAACAAAATCAAAAAGAAGCAATATGCATGTGTGAAATTAAAAATATAAAATGTTGACAATTTACCCCTCACACCCTGTATATACATTTTCGCTCTTGTATATAAATACTTGTCACAAAACAAAATCCTTATATTTGCCTTGATAAAGTACACCAGGGGATGAAATGCATTGGCTAAGATAGTTTTCCTTTTGTCTTATATATATATATATATATATATATATATATATATATTTCTTTTTTCAAGAATTTCTATAAACTTTAAATATTTTTAAATTAAACATGTTCATTCCTTGGTTGTTTTAAAATGAAGAATCAACACTTGATGATGAAGCAAACAGAATTAAATTTTTATTCATACCTGAACTTGATGTTTTTCCTGCATCTGCCAAGAAGAAGCTTCAGATTCAGCCTTTGTCTTGTATAATTCCATTTTCTGTTGTTCAATAGTTAACTGTAGTTGATCCAGCTAGAAAAATCAATAAATTATTTTGTCCTCCAGTAGAAATATCAATAAATGAAACAATAGAAAAACAACATAATTATTTGATATAATAAGTTTAATTCTATTTCCATGTCTGGTTTAAATATTTTAATAATAAAAAGTAGCAGTTCCCTTTCAACTAGTCAGCTTGCATTCCTAAGCTACACATTCTCTACTGTTGCTAGTTTTCATTCTTGATAATGTCACACTTTGTCTTATGTCACTTCTAAACTAACTACTATTTAGAAAAACAGCTATTTTAGTTTCTTATGAGGAATTTTCTTCGTGTTTTAGAGACTACTGTGATCATCTGTTAAACTTCACAATTGTTCAAGTTTTAAAATGTTTGATATTCTCATTTTATTGATTTTTTTTTTTTTAACACTGATGTTCACCCTGTACAAGGCCCGGGACCCACTTGAAGTAGAGGGTTACAGAGTAAGAGGTACAGTTTATGCAGATATGTGGAAAAGATAACAGTTAACTCTAGACTTGAACAGGTTAAGATTGTAGTAATCAGGGAAGCACCCTCTTAGGAGTCGGTTACACAAAGCAGTGGTTCATGGGAAAAAGCTGTTTGAGTGGAACTTAAATCTCACCAATGGAATATGACAATGGTTAGCTACAATGTGTGTGGCTTGGCAGGTCTTAGCCATGATAGTTTGAACTGGTGGAACTAAAGAATGTAATTCTTCTGAGCACCTTCTATTGAAGTAGCAACAGAGCAGTGAAAAGCTTGCAACATTTTATCTGCATGTTCAAATGATGGAATGGTTATTACGGCAGAAAATGAAATTGGCAAGTCATATTCATTCATCCTTTCATCCCTATTGCTGCCACATCTGGTCTGGTATTTCTGTTATATATTTAGAGATCAAATACAAAGACATTCTGCGATATTACCAATCTTGACCTGGCATCATGATTTCAGTCATTTACCCATTGTCATAATGTAGCTTTCTCTTTGCCTTTTCTATAAATATTTTTACAGTAATTGTTCTGATGAGTTTTCCTTGTTAGTACCTCAACTTCACAAATTTAAATGCCATACTAGATTGGTAGTTACGTCTTATAATTTTGCTGTTGAAATTACTACTTGTAAGCATAATTTCTGTGCTAATAGTTTCTTCTACCACACTTCTCTTTGTGGAATCTTTTCCAGATTGCTTTCCTGTTCTTTTATTGTTCTCTGTTTTTTTTTCACTCTTAGTAACACCTTGCATCCTCATGGCTTTTACTGCTTTGCTTGTGGAGTGAAATGATTACAAAAAAATGCCCTCGATAAATGCATGAATCCATTTGTTCTCTCCACCTCTGAGTCATAGATGAAATAGCAGGGCAGACTTTGGGTAACAGCTAACTTATAATGGAATTGGAAACCACTTTACTATTCTTACTAAAACATTATGGTAATTCACAAACAATAAAGAATCTGTGGAGAGCCATGATCCCCTACACTCTGAAAAGATATGGCATTTTAAAAAATAAGAGAAAAGGTATAAACTTCATAATAAAAGTGACTCATTTATTACATGTCTTTTATAATATTGTTAATAATGTCAAAGTAATTAAGTATTGTACAAAGATATTTATTAAAACAATGTGCTTACATTGTTTTTACTGAATCCTTGAAACGAGAAAATAACAGAGATATAGTATCTATGGAATAGCAGAAGTGAAAAAATTGATTTTGTTTTCAAAGGATCATAGATTAAGTTGGATTAATAATATAAAAGGTAAAAAGTGATATTTCTTTTTAATAACATTATACATTTAATATTAAATTTGTTTACTATATACAGACAATTTAAAAAAACAAAAAATACCTCAGTTTTGAGAGATTCATTTTCTTCTAAGATTTCCTCTGGTATTTCAGTGAAATTTTTGTTTTCTTGTGGGAATTTCTTCTGGGCAGCACTAGAATCATTCTTTTTAGCTTTTTGTCTTTTATTAAAATCTGAAAAATATTCAATATCATAAATAAATGAATAATTCCAAGGCATAACTTTTTTAGCAGTTTCAAGAAAAATAGTAATATTGGTGATGTGAATATGGTATTTTGAAAAGAAAAAAAACTATAAATAAATATCCTAAATTGTAAAGTATTTTAAATTTTTCTCAAAATGAATTTTAACGTTTGACAGTCTTTTCACAGATGAATGTTAGAGTAACATTGGTTCAAGTATCTAAAATGAGCAGTTTAAGATTTTTCTCAAAGCTATTAAAATATAATGTTTTTGAATTAGAAATTTCTGAATCATTTTATAAGATATTTTACATAAAACCCTATTGATATTTTTTTATTTTAGTGTGGGTGAATTTCTTTTCTTTTAGCACTTGCAATTAGCTCCATAATTTTTCTTAATCTGAAATATAAACAAAAGAACACAAACAGCTGCAGGAAAGTGTGTTTTAGGAGAAGAAAAGAACAATTTTCTTTATAATATTTCTCTAACACATTTTATAATATATTTTTCCATTTACAGCTCAATTAATTGCTATGTTGAAAGCAGACTGAAATTAATTTGGGTTACATTATGTGTTACAAATCAATGACATAAAAAAATGAAATGTAATAAAAAGGCTATAACTAAAGTTGCACACTAACCTGTTACTATTTCAATAACAAGCTTCAAGAGAATTTTATTTAACCTGAGAAATCATAATGTCAAAAAATAGACCACTTTAAAATAAATCATTTGCTGAAGTCCTAAGAGATAAATTGACTGGGTAATCTTTTAAATTATTATCTTATTTTTTCCTTGGGTTTGTTTTGCAGAATGCGCCTTTGCATTGTCCTGCTGGAGAATAACACCTTTTTTTCTTTACCAAAGCAAGACAGTTTTGATCTAATGCTTCATTTACATGATCAAGATGCTAATAAAAACATCTTCAGTAGTTATCCTTCAATGTAGCTTATAATGGACAACACTTTTCATATACCACTAGACACAAGGAAGGACTTCTGTGAATGGAGGCTTGTCAAATATGACACAATTGCCGTTTTTAAACCTTACTCAACCACAGCTGACATATACGACCCTTCACTGCATCCATATACACTGGACAGATGTTTTTAAATGTTTCTGTAAAAGGACTGCCCTTTTAGAATCCATACAGTAAGCAGTAGCAAATACGATGCTTTTTTTTTTTAATTTATACTCTTCTGTGGGGTTAAACTTTGGAATGCACTATAAACAACAAAAACTGTCACATAGAAGAGATGATAAACTATTTCTAGATGCAATTTCCTCACATTCAACCTTGCTTTTGCCTTGGTATTCATAGCTGTGAACTATGTAATTACTTTCCAAAACACTAATATTTCTTTTTGGTTTGTACTTTAACCCTTTGAACCCTGACCCCTGATGAGTATGCTACCTCAACCACCTTCCATCTAGGAAAACTCAGTTCCAAATTCAGTTGTTTACAAAATTTAGTTTTTTTTTTCCAGCCTGCATTTGCAGCTGTTTGTCAATCAACACTGCCCTCTATGTCTGGGTCACTTTTCCATTGTTCAAAGTGCTCAACATACAATTCAAGTCGTTTATGTGTGAATTAAATCCTCCATTCTTCCCACAGGTTTTTGGTATTAATCCTTCTTGTTTCAATGTTTCTCAGTACCTAACACTTTCTTATATTTTAACAAAATGTTTTTCCGTTTTACCACAGCAAAGACAAATAATATCACATACTGGTTGCCTAGGTATGTGCACTTTCACACAGTGGCCAGTATATGAGCTGCTCAGATTCAAAGGGTTAAAGCTTTCTTGGGATACTATGCACAAAGAAAACTAAACATGGTGTTGGGGATGCCGATCAAAGATATTCTGTACAATAGTACAAATAAAGCAGAACAAAAAGTGTGAAACTTATTTACTGACCAAAAGTATTTGAATTCTGTTTGGCAGATACCTGCTGCCTTATCAGCTGTTGTTGCTGCTGTTTCTTTTCCCGCTGCAATCTGGAGACAGAAGTACGAAGCATGGTCACCTGCTGATTGCTATTTTCAAGCTGTTTTCGTAGTACCTGGTTCTGGGCTTGGATTTCACTCTCCCTTTCTCGTGTAGCCTCCATTTCTGTACGCATATGTCCTTCAAGAAGCAATATCAGAAAAATAAATTCCCAAACTAATTATAGCATGATAGTTTTTCTGTGGATCTATATAACATTTTTTCTTGAAATCTGTCAAACTGCTCTTGAGTTAACTTGTGAAAAGACATAAGGGTTCAATTAATATAACAATTGTTATCATATTACACCAGTGATTAGAGTTATAGAGTTGCATGTACTTGTTGTCTTTGCATCTATATGAAATTGGAAACATCTTGAAATTGATACAATAAATTACAATGTTCAAACAATTTCCAGAATTTAATAACTAATATTCACAATTAATAGATATAACTAATTATTGAACCCTGACCTTGAATTGGTTTAATTAGTTACATTGAATACATTTTGAAACTGTTTTTGAATTATTTGTGATCCTTTTTTGTAGAGATTAGCTAAATTTCTTTCAAGTTCATTAGTTATGTAGTTTGTAGGTAATATAATAACTAAAGAACTTGAAAGAAATTTAGCATATAAAAATTACTAGAAACAATTTAAAAACAGTTAAATTTAATCAATGTAAGTCTTAAGTTAAATTTAAAGTAGGGATCTTCTAAACAGAATGTAAACAATTTCCCCAAAAAGTAAATTGGCAGAACGTCCCAAGATTTAAAGAGATATATAAATGTAAAAAGGATTTAAAATTAAACAACATGCTCAATGCACTTGTGTGCTGCCAAAGATGTTGGGATCACAGTTTTAACCTGAAAAATGTCATTTTTATAAAAAAATGAATATAATTTATTCAAACATGCATTGAAAGTGCCATGATTATCACCTATAATTAATATACAACTGGGCAATTCCAGTTTACCCACTTTTCTTACTAAATTGGTACTGAAATAATGTGAAATACTTAAATCATAAACAAATTGAAATGAGTTAAAATCTAATGATACAGTTAAAGTAAAAATCAAGCATTTTGTTCATGTGAAATAAAATTGTTTTTCTGATGATGCCAGCTCATTGGCAAAACATGTCAAGATAATTTCTCCAAATTATTATATATTTTTACCATTCCATCAGATACTCATCCAACTTTACTCTAATATTTGATGTATACAACTTTTAAAGGTATAAATTCTTTACTTACCATCATCTTTTTTGAGCTTATCAACAGTTGCATGTAATTGTTCTAGCTGGACTTGAAGCTCTGCTGTCTCATTACGGTGCCTTTCTCTTACACTTTCCAGCTCTTTTTCCAAGGCCAGTCGATGACTATATGGATGATCACCTAGGGAGGATTTTTGCTGGAATTGACGAACTTGTTGCTCCAGCTTCTCTATTTGCTCCTCATATTGGAACTATAAAAATAATATTACTCCTATTATAAAATGTGTCTGTACAGAACTGGATGCATGTATATATGAATTTCAACTGGATTCACTCATTAATCAAAGATACTTTGGAATTTGCTTACACATATAATTATATAATTATTTGATGGACCTGTAGAAATTCTGTCACATGCAAACTTCAGTCCTGAAGATAGGCAAGCAAGTAACATATCCAGTAGGCCACCATTTTATTGCTTGAATATATAGTAAAAATATCATGGAAAGACTAAGTTAAGAGTTTATTTTGTTTAAGGTTTTAACTATTTGAATTAGTTACTTTTTTTAATCAGTTCACTCAAAGCAAGGCAATAATGTCACTAAGACATGAGGGGCTACTTGGAGTGAAAGAGAATGAGAAGACTTTAGAAGGAACTGGAATCTCAATCCTAAACAAAAAACAAGGGATAAACCTTTATTCCTGTTCAAAAGACTGATGAGGAGTAATGTGAGCTGGACAATAGGTGAACTCCTATTCATATTTATTTTAATTTTTTTCAAATATTGACGTGTTAAATTCAGTGAAAAAAAAAAACAAAACAATGAAAACAAAAAGATTTTCTTTTAATTTTTATTACAGTGGCTAATTCAAATAATTATAAATCTAAAAAAGAAATAAACTCTTCATTTTGCATTTTCAATGTTATTCAAGCCTAATGAATCTGTGGTTCAAATCCTGACAATTGACTTCAGTGTTAGTGTCTGTGCAGTTTCAGAAAGCATAATATATATTTCAGAGGTGTGATGAAAAACAAAATCCTAACAGAAGCTTTCACTCTGACACTTACGTAACACTGGAAATTAAAAACCAACAAAGGTGCTTCAGAAAAATCATTTCCAGCTAAAAACATGATATTCAAAACTGTCTCAACTTCAGATCAAAAGAATAAAGTTGTTTTTCAGCCAATGGAAGGCTTGTAAATGAAATTAAATAAACACAGATATCTTAGCCTACTTCTAAAACCTAGCACTCAAAAGCTGATGGCCTTTTTCCACTTAAAACTGTCAGCTTGGTAACCGTCCTGCTAAATATGTATGTGCATACAAATAAGCAGAATATTTTCCTGCATGTTATACTGAGAGCATAACATTCAAATACAAGAAGGAACAAATAGAATAATGTTATAGTTATTAGAGTAAAATTTTATTAATGCCGACATTTTTAATAAGGATCCAATAGAAAATTCATAACGTAGCGTAAACAGCATGTAAATGTATTGATGTTTGGACAAATTTAACATAAAACCACCAATATTTATAATAATTCTCTGCTTACTTACTTTAAGTTTATTGTATTTCTGTTCAACAGATCTAATTCTTTTTTCTTCCAGATTTTCTTTTGTTTCCAGTTCAGATTCTAGTTTTTTCACTTTTTCTTCCAGCACCTTCATTACTGGAGGAGACTCTTTAGACATAGTATTCTCATCTTTTTCAAGGTTATGAGCAGCGAGGAATAATGTAGTCAAGGAATTTGGATTACGTTTCTGGAATATTCTTTCCATCTCTCGTACCTAGAAATGAACAGAAACAGGAAAATAAATATATAGGAAATAAATAGCTGAAGGAAATTGTAGTTTGTAGACTTGAGAACATTTTTGCATGAAGTTATAAAATTATTCCTTTTTGACAAGTTAAGTAAAAAATAATAAAACTGCTAATACTCTTATTATTATTGTAAATAATGATAAAATAGTTTACAATAGTTCAATTACAGGTTTCAATGAGTTTAAAATTACAAAAGAAAAACATTAACGCTGCATTCAGGACTAAGATGAAATGTAAAAAAGAAAAAAATGTTCTAAATTTTAAATGTCAGTAGGAAATGTTATTTTTGAAAAGCTATTGCTTTTGACAAGTTTTCTTAACAATAATAATATGAGAAAAAAAAAAAGAAAAAAACAGAAGACCTCCTATTGGGTTCCTTACTTTAGCTTATTTTTCTAACTTTATTCTCAACTACTTTCCAGATAGACAACTGTTTAGAATTACCAGTTATTATTTTTAATTGTTATGGTTAATGGTCATGTTCTGAAGATTCTCAGTTGTAACAAACAAATTTAAAGGACTTTTCTTTTGAAATGTGATCAGATCCCATAAAAGATTTCAAAAAATGTTGATCATTTTCAACATGATGTGATTATAATAGATTTAAACCAGAATCCTATTTCTCTCTCCAAATTCTTGTAAAGTAAATGAAAAGGGTTACATATTAATTGAATGGTTGATTTGGGAGTGAAAGTGGTATAATAGATAAGCAAGACTTTTAAAATGACTGTTGGCATTTGTAACTTAGTGTATAAATATAATTATTTTTAAGTAAAATGTAGTCTGGTAAAGAACTTGTTCTTTAGACTTTGAAGCTTCCAGCAAAACAACAAAAATATAACTCACCAGTATGTTGGCCTAGTGGTGATGCAATATTTGTCTGTATCCTGGAACATTTAGTAAATGCAAATGGTAGTGGATTTGTGTGAAATCTAGATCATGAAAGTGAACAGCCAAGCTGTTCTGGGTTGAAGAGATCAAAACAGCAGTGGATGAATGCTCAGCAGGCATCAGATATATTTGATGATTCATTGGTTGAAGAGGTTGAATATGAGTGTAAATAGTCTAAGTCATCATTGATGATAGCAACAGTGAAATGATATAGGGAAAATCAAGAAACTGGGGTTCAAAAGGTTTGAATAATTTTAAAAGACTATATATATGTTGACAATAGTCCATTAGCTAATGTATTAATTTTTTAAGGGTTTATAAATAACTTAAAAAATAATCAACCAATCTAAGTTATAACCAGCTTTTCTTTTCTTTCTCCCCTCCCATATCTTTGGTATTTTCACTTACAGCTTATAATTCATATTCTTAAAAAAAAAAAATAACTTTGCCTTCCCCAAACTATTTTTTTTTACTAGCCAATATCATATAAAATACATTTTTGGGATAAAATCTATAGATAGTATCTCAATATCTCAATAATATCTATAAAAGTTATAATATATTTCTAGATCCTAAAATTACTCTTTTATATACTGAATTGTGGTGTACAAGTCAAGTTTTCAAGCCTAAAAAATCTTTCCAAAACTAGTGGTTGATTTATATGGCGGGTATAAAATGCAATCCTTTACCACCGAGTTGTAAACAAGTAGGACATCACCAATTACTGTACATCACTTACCGTACCTCCAATAGGATTCCACAAATATATCTCATTAAAACTTGTGTTTGGTGAACATAATTGGCATATTAGCACAGAAATGAATATAAAATAATAAAATAGTAACACAAATGCAATATTCTATTAATGCTACAACACTATCGTATGTTTGGGGCTAAATCTATATGGTAAGTATAGGCCTAACTCAAAATTTTGAGGTAAAAATCTTGAGATCAATTTTTATTTTACGGTATGTGTCCATGAATATATGATACAAACTCTGTATAATTAATCTTATTTCAATGACTAAATATCAATATTTGAGACTAGCAGCATGGCCCAGCGTTGCCCGTGCTTGATTCAAAAATAGTATGACTAATACAGCAATCGCTATCACTTGACTTAAAATATTTTTGCCCTTCCTTGCCTTTTTTTTTTTAGAGGAGTGCCCTTTGCCGTGTTGATGTTGTTACATGCCTTACTTCTTGCCTATATCACACTGCCAACTTTTTTCTAAGCTCTATAGTAAACATTAAATCTGTTACTAAAAAGAACTAAACAAAATAAACACAATACTGATCAGCTTTAAAAACCGAAAAAACATTTTTAAGGGTTGACTGATTGTCGATTTGCACTCTGTTTGGGGGTGCTCAGAGTTGAAACTTCACATGATGACTCCCAATGGCCTCTTCATAAATCCGCTTGGTTTTCGCTAAAAACCGACATGCGGTTCAGATGCAATCTGGGCATATCAGTTTTTGGGTTTTATTAATTTTCCGCGCTGTTTAGGGGTCTGTGGTCATGAAACTTCTGGACAACACTTCTAATGGTAGACTCTAAGAGGGTGTCAAATTTGGTTGAAATGCGATCATTCCTTCTGTAAGCAGAATTTTTTCGATTATTGCTTTTTTCGGAACCTGATTCCGAACTCAAAAATTGGGCGCCGTCATGTCCTTACGGCAACCATTTGCAAACTTGTGTTGAAAACCGCATCGAAATCAGGTGAGAAATGTGGCCTGGGCGAGGTAACAATGCCCACAACAGACACACAGACAGACAACATTAAAAATATAGATACTAGATTCATTCAAAGTTGACTGCTAAGTTTAGTCAATCTGTTTTGAACTTACCTGCCTTTCTAGATCCTGAATTCGACTTTGGAATGTTGATCTTTCTTTTAACCGCAATTTATTTTCTTCTAGACGACGCCCCGCCTACAAAAGAAAACAAACTGCTCTACAAAAAGTAACGAGTTTGCCCTTTTGCACAGTTTCATAAGTAATACATTCTATTAAAATATACCAATATATAAATAAGATTAAACAGGACAATAAATTATAATCAATGAATATATATTGACACATTGTCAATTATGTAATACAAAGCGTTTTTATTTATAATACAAAGCATTTTTGTTAAAATTTTCTGTGCAAGAAGGAAGAATGAAAGTAGCATTAGAAAATAGTAACTTTGCTATAACTTTTCATAAATTTAGGAATAAAAAAAAGAGAAATATATTTTTTTTACATTCTCTTTAGAGAATTACTGTATTTGATGGTATGTAAGATCTCTTCTCCCACAATATTATATTTTTATGAAGTTAGGCTAGATAAAAATACTAGTTATCTACAGGAAATGTATAGACATTAACCGATGAGATACCTCTCCACTTCAAGTATAAAACCACTTATATTATTCTTCAGCACTCTTCAGACTTTTTCTCACAGATGCAACATCAAAAACCCATTGCTACTCAGTTACTATTTCTATGGCAAATGTTCAGATGAGCTCCATTCTTTAGTCCCACCAGTTCAGGCCTTTACCGTGTTATTTATACGAGGGTAAATCACCTTCATTTCCTCTGTATTCCAAATTTAAAGAGAAACATCCCCTTTTTCATAAGAGCAGCCACTTTTTGGAACAGATTCCTATTTTACTAAACATGTCAACCATGACCTCTTCAAGTCAAGGGTCAATCCTCATAATCTTCCCTCCCTACTACCTTCTTTCATTTATATCACGCACTTCATTCATCATAACCATTTAAACAGTAATCCTTTATCTTGAGTAATTTTTGCGCCTTGCATAGGGTGAATCTTAGAATAAAACAAAATGAGATATTTTTAGTCATTTTTTTTTAAATGTGTTTATGTCAAATACAGTATATTAAGGCATGAAAAAAATTGTTAGGTTTGAAATGATACCATTCATTAGATATTTGAAAGAAAAGGATAAATCTATTCAAAACAAATATTTCATCAGGAGCACTACATGCTTAACTCCAGCTCTGGAAATCCAACTCATTACCATTCAGGCTTTAGAAAATTGAATAAGTACTCATCCATTATGCTGAAATAGTTTTGTTCAATTTCTCAAACCAATTGATGAAATTTGAAAAAGTCGATTTGTTTGGAAAAATATTTTAACAAAAACCCTACTTCACAGTTTTTACACACCCTGATAAAACCAACTGTATTTCGTACTCACTTACTTGTTTACACTTCACCCCTGGTTTTGATCTGTCAATGTATGGCTATTTCAGAGGGTGTGACAGATGTATGAACTAACAGAAGTCACAGAATTTTATATATATATATATATATATATATAGATAGATTTTACCTCAGATTGAAGTTGGTCAATTCTCTTGTTCAGTTTATCTATTTCCTTGTCTTTCTGCTTGAAAACAGCAATGTCTTGGTCAAGTAGCTGCTGATTATATGCATACCATTGCAGTTGCTTCTTCATTTGGTCCCTTTCATCTTTTAACTTGCACTCAATCACCTAAAACATAAAAAGAAAATTAAAAAAAAACATTTTGTATAATATAATGGATAATGTTTTGCTGATGTATGTCATTAGGCATTTTGTGCAATCTATTTTTTATTTTGTAGCTATTTTGTTAAGTGCTGACTATATATATATAATATATATATATGTAAAATGTGTATTTATATAAATATAAATACATATATGCAATCTTTTTATATATATTATTTATATATTATATATGCATGGTACTTATTGGAAAGTGCTCAATATCAGTGATAGAACTAACATATTTAGTTGGATTGATGTGAGTTTGTGAACCTGGGTTTCACACTATTTGCGATCGTGAAGCAAACTGATTAATTTTGATGAAAAGATCAGGGTGCGAGATTTTGTCCTGCCATGTATAACCACATATTGAATGAAGACAACATTTATGAAAAGCATTAAGTAAGTTGATTGATGTGTGCCCTGTATGGCGTCCACAATTCTGACCAATAAAGAAGTGTGGTGAGAATAGACACTGGTTTTTTCGTTTTCAGTGAAAGTGATACTTAGAAGTGCAATGATGTAAATTATCACATACATATATAATTAATACCAGTAAAAGATTCATAGATCCTCCAGGAATCACTCCATCTACTCATCAGGGTGTATAGCAATTGACTTGACTGTTTATACTTCTTGATTTTTCCTTTTTATATACACTTTTCATTGGTGCAAGTTATTTTTTTCATAGTGTGTGTTCATTCGTGTGTGTGCACCCATGTGCTTGTCTTCTCATATGTGTAGAATGTTGTGGTTATTTGTACTTTTCATAGTTTTTTTCACTTTACATATATTACTTCCAACATTATTATAGTAGACATTTTTTATTTGAAATAGATGCTTCATTTATATTTACTAAACAGTATGCATTATATCTATTGGCCTGCACATTTGAGAAATATTAGTAAAGAAAATGTGTCCTCTGGCAGAGATTGAAACTGCATCTCCATTTGTAGGGGACACCACCATTTGATCCAACATGCTTTACCATTCGCCCACAAAGGATTTCACAGTGAGCTGGCAGGGCTTTATTTACTCTATTTAAGGAAAGCACATCCTCTTCACTTAGGTTATTTTGCTTGAATTTGTACCCGAAATGTAAACAAAGCAATTTACGAAGAATTAATGGATTTTATTTTTAATCTGATATTTTTATTACTTCAAACATTATGGTAGTGGGCACTAAATAAAAATGGGGCATCTATTTCAAATAATAAGTTTCCACTATAATAACATTTGAATATATATATTTGGTTGGATTGATGTGAGTTTGTGACCCTAATAAGTACCGCGCATATAATATATAAATAATTATATATATATACTCACACTTACATATATATATAATAAAAAGGCTTAAACACTAATATTCCATGGTCATAATTTATTCCATTGGAATCGTAAATATGATCCAATTCATCAGACCTACAAATTCAAAAAGAAAACAGAAAAAAAACAACTCCGGAAATAAAAACAGAATTTAGAGAGAGTGTAAGTATGAGGAGGAGGGAGATTAAACCTTAACAGAGAGAATTTTAGGAGAGATGGGTGGAAGGGGTTTAATTAAGAGAAAAAAAAACTAATGTTGACGGATGTCTAATGCATAAAGATACATTTCGTGGTGACATACACACACCATAGACAATCTAATGTTAGAATAAGAGGAAGGGAAAGACGAGGTGGGGGAGAGAGATGGGACGAAGGAAAGTAAAATTGCGTTTACTTAAAGGGCCGCTTTGTAATTGAGAAAATTTGACAAATTTAATATCGACTACAGGTTACAAATCAAATATAAATATATGAAGATAAATATAATGATTATCTAATCCAGCAAGGACCTATATTTCTATGTTCAAAAACACATGTGAATATACACAATAACATATACATGTATATACATACACATAGGCGTGTACCCACATACATATACCCATGTACACACATATGAAAATATATTCACATATCCACACATGCACATATTCATCTATATCCATATACACACACTATTCACATACATACATGCACGTATGTCCGTATGTATATATGTGGGTAAATGTGTGTATATATATGAAGGACTGGATGCGGATGGATGTATGTGTGTGTATGTATTTTTTGTATATTTTTATATTTTTGTATGTATATTTTCCACTAATATTATCTCTCTCTCTCTCTATATATATATATATATATATATTATATATATATATATGCGTGCATTAATGTATAATTGGGCAGCAACCTTTCTTTTAATCATCTTTCATTAAATATGACAGACAAGGAAGATTTAATTAATTTTTTATTTAGTTTTGCCTGCATTCTTACATTTTTCTGTCTGATGGCAGTGAGAATGAAAAAACCACTTGCGACAATGGACAGTATGAACAGTTTTTGTACTCTCTTACTCCCACTAAACAGAAAAATGAAACAACATTGGAAAAAATAAATAAAAAATTAATAAAATCTTCCTTGCCCATCATATTTAACAAAAGATATATATACATGTACGTATACACTGTATCAGATTTTATTATGAAAGCCAATGTTTTCATAATAGAATTGGTATTAACCAAATGATTTTCAATATATTTTGGTATTTATATGACAACATATCATGTGAATTCCACCTTATAATAAGTGTATTTATTTGAAATATTTACACTATTTGGTGGAATGAGATTTTATTATGCAACTTAAGGAAGGATTGTTCATCATAAATATAATTGTATAGTTATTTATATTTATTTTTTAATCTTTATATATAAATAGGTAGAATGTCATGGGTCATAAGAAAAACAGGATACTGCAAATTTAGTGAGTGATGAGAACAGAAAATTGGAAATTACAAAAAAGTTGAACAGAGATCATAAAACAATAAAAAAAAAGATATTGTAAATGTTGGTAAAATTGTATACATAATTACAGAAGAAAAGTAAGCTTATAATTCATCAAAGAAGTGACTACATCCAGTTGTTTAAATAGTTCTGTATAATTATAAATATAGATTGGATCATGAATAGAACTGTGCATTTCCATCAAATGCTAGACAAAATGAAATCAGACTTACTTGAAATTCTTCTAGTTTTGCATTCTTCACTTCTTGCAGTGACTGTCGCATCTCTTCTTTTTGGTGGATTAGAAGGTTAATCTGTGATTCTAATTCTTTTTTGGTTTTCTCCAAAATAGAATTTTGACTTTTAGCAAGTTCACACTCATCCTGCATGAAAAAAAATTAGATTTTAAATTATATTACTTTGAGGACGGTTATTCAAAAGCAGTAAAATGTTAATTTCTTACCATAGACAATCTGTGACTGCCATTACCTTCAGAAGTTGTTTGTTTATTAATAGGATCATACTTAATGTATTTTGCTATGCATGTGTGTGTGTGTGTGTAAATTTACTTGATACATCTATCTCATTTTTCATAGTTTGTGAGAATCATCATCATCATCAGTCCTCTGATCAGATGTGACTGTAGTGTTGCTGAGCCCCTGACCAGTTTCCTCCATATATCTGATTTGAAAGTCAGAGAGATATTCATTCATTTGTAGGACGTCTTGGGCAAGTTGACCTGGTAAAGCACACCCTTCTCCAGGTCAAACCACAGCTGATGTCCCCCAACTGGAAGACACATTTTGGTCACAGACATGTGGCTGTTGATTCTATTGGAGGAACTTGCCAACAATGGCCATTGACTTCAGTCTAGGAAGCCTATATATATATAACTCAGGAGCCCAGTCTACCCCATTATACTAGAAGGCTGTTGACCATACAAGAAGGTTCATTCATCATTTTGTTCTTAATTCTGCTGAGTATCTATCTGTCTCCTCACCAAAAAAAAAAAGTCTGGTTTGGAAACCAGTTTAGTCACTGATGACTCAATAATACTGGGTTACATGATACCAGAAGAACTTGTAGAGTGACCTAACAAAACCACAATCAAGCATGCCGATTGAAAATCATCAGATCTTTTTGCAAAATGGCTTACAATATTAGATAACTTAAATTACTGTCACAATTTCATAAGTTCCAAGACAAAGGGAGCTGAAAATTCCAAACAATTTGACTAATAACAGTTTTTAAGTTGGATCCAATGGAAATTATTTAAGGTTTAAATCTGTTTTAATGTTTTTACTCTTTCAGGCAATGAATCTATTATCTTGTCCAAACTGACCATGCTGCATTGAAAACATGAAACAAATCTTTTTTAAAAGTTATTTATCAGGATATTTTCCTTATTTCATGAACCATAACGTTCTTGACATAATCAATAGAATCCATGTGAGCAATCAGCCATTTTTGAATCGTTCTTCTTGTATGATAAGAAGTTCCATTGTTTATGATAAAAGTGCGATTTTTATCCAGATAAATGCTAGCAAAGAGTGGAAGAAGTCTCTCATGCAGAACAGATAGGAATTTTTCTGATTTGATATTTCCCACACACTTGAATGTCTAAAATTGCTTCCTACACTATAACTAAAAATCTATCATTTGATAACAGGCTGCATACAGTTCAAACATTTTTAGCTAGGAAATTCTAAGACCTGTTCTAATCTGCAGTTCAAAAGTGAACAAATGAGGACTGATTTAAATTTTTAGAATCTGTGTACCATCTCAATTGCTCACTTCTATTCCTCTTGAATGTTGCCTTGTTTCAGAAGTGGCTTTCATTTGGCTGCTCTGCCATAGCTCATGTGAAAAAGATACATTGCTGCCATTTTGGTTCTGATTTTGCCACATCTGTCACCATTTATTAACTCGATTTCAACTTTCTTTAACTTAATTTTCTAAACATTAGTAAATCCTATGAGCACACTTTATGGAATTCCCAACTGGATACTATTTGACATTGGTTCATTCCATCTTTGGATTAATGAACAATACATTTGCTTTTGAAATCTGACAATTCCTTTGCTCCAGAAGCATGATGCATTATTTATAAGTTTCTCTTGTGCTTTCATGATAAATTGAGCAATTGTGAATATGTATAATTTTATTAAATTCCAAATTTAATTATAATATTACTGTTGATCTACTAATGTCATGACTATGTATAAAATAAAAAAATTATAAAGCGACAACAACCTGTAAAATACCAAAAAATATATTTTTCTTTTCATTATTATAACAGCATCTTTTTGAAAATATGGAAGGCTCCGAGTTTCTTCAATCAGAAAACTCTAAATAGTTCAATTAAAAAGCAATGACTGCACAACATTGGCTTAATTTAAAAAAAAAGCACAAAGTACATCTTGATTCATACTATGCTACTTGTTGGTGGTGCAGATAGTGTAATATTTGTTAGTGAGGAGTTCAATTCCCACTTGATTCTGCTTCATTCATTTCATGCTAATGTCCTTGTTAAAGGCATGAATCCATCATTCTCCAGTTAAACAACTCTCTTGCTTTGAAGTGGCAACCAGTCTAGGAAAAAGTAAGCTCTGAATTCAAAATCAGCCTAGAGAGGGATGTGCTCCATCAGGATATTTTACCCAAGACTATGTTATGACTGCAGTACATGTGGTAACCTTATGATCCTAATGGGTTACAGGACTTGTGACAACTTGTTGGTACATATTGTGATACTGTCTCAGCTTTAAGCAAAAATTACCTTTACTTTTTAATTTATTATCACAATGCTATTGCAGATGCTTTTCCTTGTAAGTGATATCAAAAATCGTATTATCCTCTTACCTGAGCATGTTGCCTTTGAGATTCTAACTGGGATATTTTGCTGACTGCAAATATAGCTGGCTGGCCTCCACAATTTGTGCAATAACCACTTTCACTACTTGTGGGACTGCTACTGCTCTTATGAGCATTTTCCATGGCATTATGAGTAGGTGCAATCTGTTGAGAGACTTGGGATGGATACAGATTTTCTTTGAATTTTAGTTGGTTCCTGTAAAACAATGAAATTACTAAATTTTTACTTGTAAATTGCAACGATCTTTAAAATAAATTAATTTCTAAATCTCTTTTTCTTATTTTTCTGTTCTAAAAATACAGAAACAATGCATGGATATCAGCCTTTAGGTCTGTATGAGGAAACATAGAAAGAATACTAAAAATAAGGCTTAGTAATAATTGCATTTGTAATGAAGGATTAAGAATTGTTACAGATTTAACATTAAAAGTAATGAAAAATTTCTCAGAGTTAACCTGTAGAAAAAGACAATAGGAAAACTGTAATATTAGCCAACGTGTTTCATCCAATGTGGACTGTTTCACGGTAAAAGTGAAATGAATTTATTAAAATAAAATAACTAATAATAACAAAACAAAATGTCCTTAGCAACTGGAAGAATTTAGAAAACGCTATTATAATCAGATTGTCAACTGAAAATTACATCAAGTACTGTCACGTGTAGAAATATTGTTTTTGTTGTTAATAATTAATTAATAATCTCCCAAGTAAATGTACACAACTATATCAAGAAATCAAAAGAAAATGGTTGAATCCATCAACACAACATTCATTTCATTTTTGCCTTGAAAAAGTCCACATTAGATGAAACACATCAGCTAATATTACAGTTTTCCTATTGTCTTTTACATTTATAAAAATTAAAGGTAACGTAAAAAGTAATAAATAATATTTAGAAATAATTACTTTTAGAATACTGATGAATATTTAAAACCCATGAGCCACTGACAATGTTTTTATAAATATTACTTTATCAAATAAATTATGTTGCTACCTAAAACAAAAAATGAGAAACATTGTATGAATTATAATTTCTGAAATTCATCATTATGCCATAACGTGTTAATTTTGGCCAGATGTGTGTGTGTATATATATATATATATATATATATATATATATATATATATGGGTAGACCTGTAGCCTGACATGTAATTATTAGCTAAATTTTCATCTGAAATTTTCACTGTATAATGTTCAATCTACAAGGGAGTTTTGAAAAGGCCTTGGCTTGATCCATTTTCTAATATACGACTGATCAAATAATGGTGGGTGGAGATTTCTTAATGATGTTAATAACTTTTTACCACTCTCTCTAATATGGTTAATATTCACTACTGGATTAGGTAAATTTGCAAAGGAGGAAATTATATATAAAATAAATGCTTTTTTTATCATTTAGCTACGAACATACATATATATATATATATATATATATATATATATAAGTACCATGCAAAAGTCTAACAAAAACAAGAATGAATATGTAAATACATAGGCTAGTATATAAGTCTGTCCTTACTGAGGTGTTAATTCAAATTTAAAGGTATATGATAACTCAAAATAAATTAGCATCAGATTTATTGAATTCAAAGAGTCTAAATAGAAAGATACAGCACAAAAAAGTCAACCTATGTGTCTATACATGAATAGAGAACTGATGCTATGTATACAAGTTTTGCTTACTTTAGATTGCTAAGTTCCATCAAAAGTTTCTGGTTCTCACGAAACATTCTGTCTTCAGTTACTTTGTACGTGGCTTTCAACTGTTTCATTTCATTGTACAGGCGTTCATTTTCTGTTTGATAGCCTGAAAGTAAGACTTGTTGCTCAGACAATTCTTTCTGTAACTCGGCCAGTTCTTCAGAGGATAACCTTGCAGGATCAGAAACATTTTCTTCTACTTTTGTGATCTACATAAAATAAAAACAATAAATATATACTATTTGGGATTATCTGGTAATAGTTGTGAGAAGAGGAAAACTTAAGGCAAATTATTTACATTTACATTTAAACAGTAGTTGTGAGTAGTAAGGATTTGACAAATTTAGCATATGAACATTTACAAGGTGCTCAAACTCCATAATTTCTTTTATGTGTCATGTCCATTCAGGACGTGGCCTATCAAGACTCTTCACAACTTCCTATCATTTGTAACTATTCGCTAACATTTTTCTTTACCATTCCTCTAACCCTTGTTCCACCATCTGTTCACACAAGCTTGTTAGGTAGGTGGCCTGCTGCCTCCTCTTGTTCTTATTGCCTTTAATATGTCCTTAAGCAGGGCTATGTTGCGAGTGAAACAGTCGCATTTGCGAGTGATTTTTCCAAGTGGCGACTAGAAATAATAAAACACTTATCTTTTGGCGACTGTGTTTTTTTCACCGACAATCTTCCAAAGCTCATTACTGAGTGAAAAATGTCTGTTCACCCTTTTTTTTTTAATAAAACGAGCAAAGTCAAATTATTTAAACAATAAAAGGTTTAATACAAGGGTCGCGAGCCTGATTACCAATGATTATTTTTAACATGAGAGAAGAGGCTTTCGAATTCGACAAAAGGCCTGCTGCTATCTTCCTCTGATCCACCCAACCGAATTTGAATACTATGACCACAAAAACACGATCAAAACCCAATCACCTCCATTTCAGCGTAAAAAAAAAAAAAATAAACATAAAACAAAAACTGAGAGCCGATTTGACTGACCGACCGGCGACAGCTTCAAAGGGACAATGTTGTCTCGGTCGGCTTTCTATTTCATTCCTCCAACAGTGACCCCGCCATCTACCCTATGTAAGTTGCTGGAATCTTTCAATGGGCCATGTTCTTATCATACCCTCTTCTTCTCAAACAAGAAGTCTTTCATGGAACAATTTTCAATAACAGTTTCAAACCTACACGTCATAATTTCATCCATTTCACTTGGTTGATTTTTTTCACTTTGAAGTATTTTGACGTTCCTTGAGGAACAGTAATTTTTATTAGGTGTTTTTTAATTTTAGATTTTCTTTTGTTTTTCTGATTTCTCAATGTTTATTTTCATTATGGTTTTAAATATTTAGGTTGACAGGGGATATGTAATTTTCCTTAATTTTTCATTAATGGCCTTTGTCCGGCCCGCAGGGTCGAATGAGTTCCCGACCCCTGGTTTAATAGAACAATATACAAGATATTAATTGGCATTTTGACGATGACAGCACACATTTTATTTGCAGTTTCATGTTTCATTTGTCTTTCTGAGCATGCGCAAAGATTTAAAGAAACATGACAATGAAGAAAACAATACTAAAGCCGTATTGTCTTTCTTCGCAAAATCGAACAAAGTAGAAATGCTGAATGAAACTGAGACTCAAAAGAATGCCCCGAATGATAAACAAAGTAATGATGATACACAAAATGAAAGTAAGCCGTCTATTGTACGGATTTTTCAGTTGCATTTTTTCCATGGTGTGTTCTTTTCGAAAGTTCAGTTGTGGTCATGTTTTCTGATTGTTCTTGTTCTATTTTATTGAGAAGTAAAAATCCATTTTGAGTTTTCAGGTTGTTTGCTGTAGATTCTTTGTCTTGGTTTAGCAGGTCTGTTTGACTTCTGCTGATGCTTTTGGCTTCTTCTTTTTGAGTTTGTTTTGTGGTATTTGATGTGGAGTGTTCAGTTGTTTTTTGGTTATTTTTAGCTGTTGTCACTGTTTCAGGTTTGAGTATTATGGTTAGTTCAGTAAGTAGAATTCTCAGGTTATCTATTAAAGTTGAGATTTCTTCAGATTTGTAATTAGTTTTTTCTATTGTTTCTTTTTTGGATATTCAGCATGTTTATTTTCTGAGGTCAGCATAGAGAGGCATATATTATTGTGGGTGTCTGCGTTTCAACAATTTTTCTTGCTTCAAAGAAAGAGATATTTTGTGAATATTTTATTTTGTTGATTTCCTTTTCTTTCTGCCATACTTTACATTCTCTTGAGCCTGCAGTTGTGCTCCTCTTTGCAGTTTGGACACCTAGGTCTTTCCCTGCAATTTTCTGGATGTTCAGTATCTTGTATTTTCATATCTTGTACACACTGGATTTCTAGCACAAGCTTCTTTATGGTGTCCGTATCTTTAGCATCAGTAACACCTAAGTGGCATTGGTATGTAGGTCTCCACTTTTACTATTGAATATCCAATTCTTATGTCCCTGGGTATTACAGGGGAGTTAAAGGTTAATATATATGTGTTGGTTTCAATAAGTGTACTATTTTTTTTAATAGTTATTCTTTTGACATCTTTTACTTGTTGGTCTTTTAGGTTTGTTTTTATCTCTTCCAGGGTTCATAGTGAGAGTTCATGGCTTCTCACTACTCCTTTGAATGAATTTAGGGTTTCGTGTAGGTATGTTTTGATTTTTATCTTGTCAAAGGTTGTCCAGTTTTATATTTTTTTTGTGTGTGTATTTTTGGATACTTCGATTAGGATTATTCCATTCTCATTTTTTTCACAGATTCTGGTTTTTGAATGTTGGTTGAGATAATTTTCTCTATTTTAAAAGAAGATATTTTGGTAAGAGGAGTATTTTCAATAGATTCTAATACTATGAATTAATGATGTGTTAGTTCATGCTCTGACTCATTGTCTGAGCTTGATTCAGTATGGGGTCTTTTTGTTGTTTTTTTTTTGTTGCCATGTGGGTTTGTTTTTATCTTCATCTCTTTTGCTCCCCACCCTCCTTGGAGGCTGGCAGGGGGAGATATTAGGGGGAAAGCCCATTTGCCCTATTTTCTCAGGGATACAAAAGAGGTATACTTATATTAGTAGTATTTTTGCAAGCATTTCTGGTGTTCTTACACTTACATTTTCTTACCCCTGTTTTTATAAAACTTTTATTTACTCCTTCATGCGGCTGATTTTTACGTACTAATTGATTGACCCTTGCCACCACCTTCTGACACTTATTTGAGGAATATCATGTTGTTTTGAAATAGAGTTTGAAAGATATTTATTTTGTGAAGATAGGTGTTAGGGCTTGATGTGACTAGCCAATTGGTCGGATTGGGCCTCTCCAACCTCCCATCTAGCCCAGGTAAAGGCCAAAGTGGTGTGTTGCAGGGTTGTGACAACTTTTCACCTGGGTCATGACTTGCTCAAGCACCAGGATCCCGTCCTCAGGCGTCATGGGTCATCACCCACGGCCAACAGGTGGCCCCGTTGAGGGACTTTTACCTTCTGCAAGGGTGCAGTCGACATATTCTGAAGCCCCACCAACAGGGCACATTATATTTGAATAATTTTAAATTCAAGATAAACTCAAATAAACTTTTCCAGTTTCAGCAATATGAAGTAAAAGAACAAGTGAAAAGAAAATGAAGCGTTAAAGCAAAACGATTTGAAGCTATTTGAACTAAAATAAAGATTTATTTACCTTGGAATTGAGGACAAAGTTGGATTTTTTCAATCTGTCAATTTCATTCTCATATATCTGCTTTTGTTGATTCAGACTGTGCTTATGGTTAGACCCCATCTCTGCTATTATACCTGTATAAACATATCATACATTTTACCCTTAAACACAGTTTAAACAACATTTTGATGATTGTTGTCTGGCTGCACTGTCCCATTTTGGAAGAACTGTTATTTACTGAAAATAAATGGTTATTTCTCATAGGTACTACCATTTTGGTTTTTGTTGTGTACGATACACCTAATTTACATAAGTGGAGTACCGACCATATAAATATGGGTTGGTACCGGAAGACGGGGGGAGTAAGAGATCCGATCCAGAGACTCTGCCTGACTGCGATTTAGTCAACCCATTATGCAGGAACAGTCTTCCCAAGAATATACCAAAACTAACTGTAAATATTGTGTACCCTTTCCTTGTTTCAATACATTTTGTTAACGTACATTTTGTGTTGTATTATTATTATTCCATGTTATCCAAGTTTCAACAATGGCGACAAGGTATAAAAGAACTTTACGTTACGGAAAAAAAAAAATTAATAATTGATAGCCTTCAACAATTGGGACAAGTGGAAGAACCCAGGCTGAAGAAAAAAAAAAAATCATTAATTAAAAAGTCGAACATTCTAATGGAGCGGAAAAGTATTCTAAAGTTTGGACAGTTAAAAACTAGTTAAAGGACGACTAAGCATAAAGGAACGTTCACTCAGAAAAATCTGGAAGGTGGCGTAAACAAATAACTGTGAAAAAAAAAAAAAAAAAAAAAAAAAAAAAAAAAATTACTAAAAAAACATGCATGGAATTAAAAGGAGCACAATTACAACGTGTCGACTTTGAAAGGTAAGCGAACTTGTAAAAAAAAAAAAAAAATTTGTTTATTTTTTTTGTTTGGTTTTTGCTCAACAATATTTTATAAAGCAAGACATAAAATTAAAAAAGGCGTAAGTTGTTTCGATTTTTTTTGTCTGCTTATAGTATATTCGTGGATACACAATTTAAAAGTATATTCTTTGTTGCATGAACACTATCAGCTAAAGATGGAGGAATTATCCAAAGTCATAGCTGAATTGTTTAAAACCCAGCAGTTGAGTCAAGCTGAGTTAGTCAAATCCCAGCAGTTGAGTCTGCAACAACAAAGTGAACAGTTTGCCTTATTAAAGAACAACAATTAGCACAGCGGAATTATCAAGAAAGGCAAGAGGTTGAGTCAGCAACGTCAAAGGGAACAGGAAGAAATGTATGTCAAGGTTTTGGAAATTCAAAAGTTAACATTGGAGAAATTAAACAACAATCAGGCAAATGAAAGTAACTCTTCATATTCTAATAACATCATATTTAATTCGTTGGAAACTTTCAACTATGTGCCAGACGAAGGAAAAACGTTTGAAGCGTGCTAAACGCGATATGAAGATATTTTCCACACAGACTGTGAAAACTGGTCGAATTCAAAAGAAAAGTCAGTCTATTACTAAGAAAGCTAGGTACAGCGGAACATAGCAAATTTGTAGATTTTATTCTACCGAAAGAACAAATGAATTGGAATTCTCGGAAACAGTGAAATGCTAAAAGGAGTTGTTTGGAGCAAATATGTCGCTTTGGCATAGCGATGGTTATGCATGAATGTCGCTAAATCCGACGATCAGGATTACTTAACTTATGCATCTATAGTGAATAGACATTGTGACAATTTCAGATTGGCAGAGATTACGGTTGAAGAATTCAAGTGTTTAATTTTTGCTCAAGGACTGGTATCCAGTAAGAGTGCGAAAATAAGGCGTAGAGTTTTGTCTAAACTCGAATCTGAACAAAACCTTACCCTGCAAAAAAAGTTAGCAGAGGAGTGTCAGCGGGCTGTAAGTTTAAAGAAAGTCTCAAAAAATTGAAGAAGCTGGTATTGCTTATATTAAAAAAGTGAAGAAACAGTCAAATTACCCATCAGAAAAAAATTGGATTAAAAATTCGAGCGTATTTTAAAAATAGACAAGAAAATTAAATGAAAAAAAATGGAGGAAAAAAAAAAATGGTTCCGCCATTTAATTTGTGAACAATGCAACGGAAGACACTGGGAGTTAAATTGCCCATATAGAAATAAAAAAATGTTTCGTATTGCCACAAGAATGGTCACAAAGGGTCGTGTTGTAAAAAAGAAAAAAAAGTCAATAGCGAATTAGACAAACAAATTCAAATATCAAATCAGATAGAGATTTGAGGAAGTATGTGACGACTGAAATATTTAAAAAGAATATCAAATTTCAACTCGATTAGGGTTCAGATTTAACAATAATGAACTATAAAACATGGAAAATTTTAAAAAGGCCTACAATAATGAAGTCAATGAAACAGCGCGAACAGTGACTGGAAAGGAAATTAAATTCGAAGGCGAGTTGTACTTCCCATGAAATTGAGCAGGATAGTTAAAAAAAAAAAAGTTTTCATTCTGAAAAATGGAGAAAACTTGATCGGTACAGATTTTATTGAAACATTCGAATTGTGGGATAAACCGTTAAACTTTTTCTGCAGAAAAGTAGAAATGTCATAAACAAGACAGGACATTAATGAGGAATTAAAGAAAAAGTTTCCGGAAACTTTCACCCTGGTCTTGGAAGATGTAACAAGTTTGAAGCCAAATTCGAATTAAAGGAAAATACTATGCCAATTTTTTAAAAAGAAACGTAATGTGCCTTTTGCAAGTGTAGAAAAATTAACGAAGAACTTGATAGGTTGGAAAAAAAATGGGAATTATTTCGAAAGTAGAATCTAATTCATGGGCTGCGCCCGATTGTGTGCATAAAAAAGAAATCAAACCAAGTCAGAGTCTGCGTTGATTTTTTCGACAGGGTTGAACTTCGGTAATTAAGGACTACCATTACCTGTTACCAAGTCCGGAGGAGATTTTTAACAAGCTAAATGGTGGAGTTATATTTTCAAAAATTGACTTATCAGATGCCTATCTCCAAATTCCGTCGAAGAGGAATGTTCGGGTTACTAGGGATAAACACGCATAGAGGGTTATTCAAGTACAACAGGCTTCCTTTTGGTATTAAAGTGGCACCTGCCATTTTTCAACAAGCTATGGACGTCATGCTGAATGATTTAGACTTTAAAAAACTTACTTAGACGACATCATAGTAAGGAAGCGAATCGGTCGACGAACATCAAGAGCATCTCAATCAAGTATTTAAAAGATTCAGGACTTTGGATTTAAAGTCAAAGAGTCAAAGTGCGAATTTGGTTTGGAGAAATTAAGTATTTAGGGCACATAATAAACAAAAAATGGCAGATGTCCAATCTGGAAAGGTCCATTGCGATTAGAGACATGCCGACGCCCACTAATGTGGCGATGCTACAAAAGTTTCTAGGGCTTGCAAATTATTATCAAGCGTTCATTAAAGGAATGTACAATTTAAGAGCTCCGTTGAATGAACTGCTAAAAAAAGACAAAGGCATGGAAATGGACGGTAGAATGTCAGAAAGCCTTTGATGAAATAAAAAAAATGCTTCGTCCAACCTCTTTTAACCCATTACAATCCAAAACTGGATATTGTAGTGGCAAGTGGCCTTCAAGTTCATCTGGGATAGGGCGTGTATTCAACACATAATGCCAGATGGTTCTAAAAACCAATTACACACGCTTCGAGAACTTTGCTCCCAGGAGAAAAGAAATTACTCTCAGATAGAAAAAGAGGCACTGAGTATCATTTTTTGCCATACAAAAATTTCACAGGTACATCCATGGCAGACATTTTATCCTTGAAACGGATCATAAACCACTGATCACTATTTTTGGTTCAAAGAAAGGGTTACCCGTTTATACAGCAAATCGTCTGTTAAGATGGGGAACCATTCTTCTCAATTATGATTTTCACATAAAGCACCTATCATCCAAAAAGATAATTCATGCGGATAGTCTATCAAGACTAGTACCGAGTCAAGAAGAAAGATTCGAAGAATCAATTATTGCAAATATCAGAGCAGATTATGAGGTGAAAAGCATGGTAAACAACATTGTAAAGAGAGCTACGGTTACGCTAAATGAAATTAAAAAAAAAAGCTGAAAGCGATGATTTCATTTAGAAATTAAAAAGCAAAATGGTAGCAAATGACCAAAAAATGCAGGAGATTTTTCAATAGGTGACGGAGTTTTATTATATGGTGAGAGAGTAGTAATACCAAAGAAGCTGCAGAAAAGAATACTTGGGACTTTCATATGGGTCACCCGGTATTAATAGAACAAAAAGCTTAATGCGAAGCTTTGTGTATTGGAAAGGAATGGATGTGGATATCGAAAACATGGTTCATCGATGTAAGGGGTGTGCGTTAGCAGCTAAGGCACCACCTATAGTACACAAACCATGGCCCAAGACGGATCATCCGTGGACAAGATTACACATTGATTTCGCTGGTCCAGTAGAAGATTTTTTCTACTTAATAGTGGTAGATAGTTTTTACAAAATGGCGGAAGTACTACGCTGTAAAAAGCCTACGTCCAATACCACAACAACTTTTTTTGCATGAACTATTTGCACGGTTCGGTGTGCCAGAGTGTATTGTGGTGACAATGGTACACAATTCACTTCTGAAGAATTTAAGGAATTTTGTGAGTTATATCAAATTAACCACATAACGACGCCTCCGTATCATCCGAGGTCTAATGGACTAAAGAAAGATTTGTCGATACTAAAGCGAGCTCTGAAGAAAGCCTCAGGAGTTCCAACGGAAAAGGCGCTTCAGCAATTCTTACAAGTATACAGAATCACGCCAAACCAGAGAACACACTCAAACATGGCACCAGCTAAACTAATGTTAAGCTAGGAAAGTTAAGTCAGTGTTTGACAAGCTTTTGCCAGGAAAAAAATAGAGTAAAAAATACCATGTATACAGTGAGAAAAAGATACACTCCGGAGAGAAGGTGTTTTTCAAGTGCTATAAAAACAACGTTGAGTTCTGGGAACGAGGCATAGTGGACAAGAGAATCGGTGACCTGATTTACATAATTAAAGGGCGAAGAATACTCATAAAAGGCACCAAAACCAACTTAAAAAGATTACGGTATAGAGCAAGAAGAGTGTATACGGATGAGGACGAAGATCCCATTGATATAATGTATGATATGTTTCAGGTAGAACCTCCACAGAATACACCTGGAGCAAGAAGATCCGGTAGGAAACGGAAGTTAACGGACCCATTGGACGTGAATCCAAAACGGAAAAAAATATTAAAATTAGGCAAATGGATCTACAAAGAAATAGCCATAATCATCAACCCATATAGGAAGCCAATTTGAAATCCAAAAGGGATTCCAAGGCTTGGGAGGAGGGTGTTGTGTACGATACACCTAATTTACATAAGTGGAGTACCGACCATATAAATATGGGTTGGTACCGGAAGACCGGGGGAGTAAGAGATCCGATCCAGAGACTCTGCCCGACTGCGATTTAGTCAACCCATTATGCAGGAACAGTCTTCCCAAGAATATACCAAAACTAACTGTAAATATTGTGTACCCTTTCCTTGTTTCAATACATTTTGTTAACGTACATTTTGTGTTGTATTATTATTATTCCATGCTTATCCAAGTTTCAACAGTTTTGATCAGATATTTGGTAGTACAGACTAAGCTAAATGTCACTCCCAACACAATATATTAAAAATATATCAAAAAGAAGTTATAATTTATGCTACTATATATTTAGGCTGGTTTAGAAATAGCACTAAGGGTTATTCAAGTACAACAGGCTTCCTTTTGGTATTAAAGTGGCACCTGCCATTTTTCAACAAGCTATGGACGTCATGCTGAATGATTTAGACTTTGCGTGCGCTTACTTAGACGACATCATAGTAAGGAGCAAATAGTAACACAAATTCTAAAGACTAATATTACAAAATGTCTTGAGAAATATATATATATATATTATATATATATAGGTAATTTTTTAGGCAATGATGTAAGATTTAAAAAGACATAAGTATATCTAGAAAACATATATGTTGACAGAAGGCAATATAAGTTTTTGTAAAGACATATCTTGAAAATGTATATATATGACAACTGTAGGCAATAAGTTTTGTTAAGATGTATAAGTATGTTTACAGCAGCAGAAGTGTGAAGGATATGGATTGAAGGATATAACTTATTTTAGTTTATTAGAAGATGGTATTCATAAAATTTGATATTATATAATTGTTATGTAAGAATAATTGTAACATAAAAATCTTATTCAAACAAATATATATCTATACATTGATTAACATTTGGTAATAAGAAAATTTAAAAAATATATTATTTTTAGTAAAGAAAAATTATTAAGATGATATGACTCTTTAGTAAAGAATAATGCTATATTAAAAGAAATGAATCTGGAGGAATTAAAATCCAATCTTAATTTAAATAAGGTAAATGCTTCTTTTGCAAATTGATTTGTTTCTCAAGCATAGATTGAAATATGTGAAAGACAAAAGTATTACAATATTTGAAGTATAAAATTCATTAGAGCAACATGTAGGTTTTATAATCATTATAATTGAGTTTTAGCTTTTCTAGTTCAAATTTTTGAAATGCCACATAAACACATTGCTTAGTAACAATATACATTCAATCCATTTTTATACACACTTAATATCCATTTATTTACAACAAATTAATTACATGCATTTTTGTATAAGTCAAAGATTTCCAAACATTTTAGAAATAATTTTTGTCACAAAACATTAAATTTTTTTGCCAAGCCAAATATATAATTCAAAATGTATATGAAAAGAAATAATTCAGTGAAAAATTTAGTTAATAATTAAAGAAATAGCAGGTAATTAATTATACTAAAGCGTCAGAACACATCAGTTTGGAAAAGTGATAGAGGTGAAATTTAAAATGCATGAGGTAATTTCTGTGTTTTATGATTTACACATGACGAAACTAATCCATATTTATCATTCTTCTATTTAAATTTTTCAAAAATAAAATGTTCTAAATATACCTTTCAATTGAAGGAGTTGCTGTTTTTCTTCTTCCCATTTATTTTTCCAGTATTCAACTTCCGTTTGTAAATCTTTAATGTGTTCAGTGTTAATTTTGTCAGTTTTACAGTTGTCACCTTTTTGTGGACAGGCCTATCAATAAAAAGTGAATTCAACAAAAGATTGATCAACTGATTCATTTTTTATGGCTTATCAACTCATTGCAGGTTATTTAAATTCAGAAAACATTTTCAGATTGTAAGAATTCTTTTGGAGATAATGATTTTATGGATATAAGTCTTACTAATTAACCCATAGCTAGGGGGAGAAGAGGTAGATTCATACATTTCCCAAGGGTATTTAAACATAAGTGAATATAACAAACTTGACTGAAATTGGAACTTGGCTTTCTAATTAATAATTTCGAGATATTATCCATTACACCACCTGCACATCCAAGCTTATAGCACTTGTTATTCTCAAGTGATCACCCAACTAGGTAGTAATAAGGCTTTGCTTAACTTTGGTGATTGTATGGTGATTTCAACATGATGTGGCTGTAAGCCTTTAGCAAGAAATACATACATATCTGGGCTCACTAACACTTACATGCATCATGTTACCTGAACAAATATTTAAATATTCACTGATAAAACTATAGAGAAAAAGATTGTCTCAAGTTTTGTCTCTTACATCAAGTATGAAAGCATGAAGACAAGGTAATAATTAAAATTAGAATGAATAAGGAATGGATTGGAAAAAGCAGTCAAAACATAAGAGCAGAAGTCTTTTCTACTGGTTGGTTGTCTTTTCTAGACAAACTGTACATAATTAACTAAATATCACTGCACATTCTTCTATTTGACCCATAGTGCAAATTGTTGAAAAATTTGCCTTTGTCTAAAGTGGTTCTCTATGTTTCATGTAGAAAAAAAAAACACTTTATACAAGACTGTTATTAAATATTTTCTCATTTTATTATTGCCTAATAATAAAATCTAATAACAAAATATGATGCTAGATTTTTTACCTGAGAAATTTCAGAATCTTGTATGTCATTGTTGGGTGGAAGATCAGATGCAGATGTGACTCTGCAATTATTGGTAGTTGGTTTATTCTTACTGGGAAATGTTTTACATGAAGCAAGTCCTGAAAAAAAAAAACAACATAAAAACAAAACTGAATCAGTTAATAACAATAAAAAACAATTTGTGAACATACAAAGATTTTAATCTGAGAGGTAAAAAATGCAAATTTCAAACAGCTAAATATAACATCCACCTGTAATCTAATGGGCTCACACACAGCAACATGACAGAAAAATAAATACTCTTTGTTTAAACTACATAGAATATGTTAAGAAAGAGTTCAGGTGGACTTATTAATCATGACAACAATGTGCTTAATTGACAGATTTTACAAGCATAGTTATGTATCTTATATACTGACAAGCCAAAAGTCAGTATGTAAAAGTATATAAATAGTAAATGATGCACTTTACCATGACATCAGGGAAATGCCCAGATTTATACCAGTTGTACTCTGACATCTGGTAAGTCAGTGTGGACACCAGACATGCTTATGCCAAGACAAGTTTGAACAGGGCATGATAGTGAGTGCTAGATAGATGGGACATTTCCATTTTTGAAATTCTAGGGACATTTGGCATCTAACTAGAATGTCATGTATGTACCAAGAATACTTTATAAAATATATTACTACCCATCATGATGAGCACAATGTATGAGAGGTATCTGGCTAGAATTGTCTATGGTAATAGACAAGTAACACTAGCAAAAATCACATCCACATTTGGCAAAGTTTAACATTCCTACCTAAAAATGAACAAAATGCTGTGTCAAAAAGATGTTTTTTCTCTTGGCACTGAATTACTGTATATTCCTTTGGTAATTGCTATTTTTTAAAAAGTTATTTTTAGAATTTTAATAAAACCCAGACATATGAATCTATGTATGAAATACTTTGTAATATAGTAACAACTCTAAGTAGACACTTACGAAATTCATTCAGCTTCAGTGCTGAAAAACGTTTATTTTATTGTGATGGATGGTTACAAGTGAGAGGGGAGATGGGGGTATGCTTATTTTATTATCACACACTTGTAAGTTAACTGACTAATAAATAAATAGTGTTTAACATTTTTGTTGTCAATTCTTGAGAAAAAATAAAGTATATATCCAAATGCTTGCAAAATGTTTTAGTAAATTTATGTGGCAAGAGCAAATAAAAGAAACTGCCCAAAATGCATATTGCAAAATTTATAATTAATTACTTGTAGTTTTGTGTTTTATGAAGTTTTCTTGTTCACAAACATTTTTATAAATTCATGAATAAAAAAATTATTTTCATAGTTATTTCTTTATAATAAATCATAAATATTGCATTGTAGTTGGTTCATATATATTTTTAAACTTGCAAAAATTGTTTTTGTAAATAAACAATCTAATAGAATAAATGGTGTTAAATTCTTTTGTTGTCAATTCTCAAGAAAAAAGAAAATGTATAAATCCAGTTTCATATTAAAGCTCTAAAAATAACTTTTTAAAACAATAAAATGTTGCCAAGGGAGTAATAGTAATAGCAGCATCAACAGAAAAATGTCCTTTTGACACATCATATTTTTTGCAGGTACACATGTTAAACTTTACCTCATATTCAATGCTGGAAGTATAGCAGGTGAATTTAGGATTCTTTAGTTTCCAAGGGATATAGAAACAGAAGACACACCAGGGTGCCCCTGCTAACACTATAGTATGGTACAATGTGTCATGTTCCCAGATGTTTTGGGCTGATGTAAGGTTCAAGTTTGAAAGAGACCTCTATGAAGCCATGAACTCCTGTTATCAACAAAGCACTGTGCAGATTGGTGGTGAATCCATTATGGTGTGGTGTGTGTTCATGTGGCATGGATTAGGTCTGCTGGTCAACCTAAATATGTCACAGCACTCCTTTGTAACCATTTGCACTCATTCATGGACTCCATGTATCCTAACAAGAATTGGTTATTTCACCAAGATTATACACCATTTCATCAGGTCAAATTGGTTTAAGAAGCAATCTGGAGAACTCTGAGGAATAATGTGGCCACTAGATTCCCCAATCAAGTTATTATGAGATGTGGTGGAGAGATCTATTTGTGCACAAAGATCCAGCACCGACAAATATCAGGGAGCAGAATAGTATGGCTCAACATTTCCCCAGGGGTCTTCTGGTCACTTGCAGAATTAGTGCCACATTAAGTTTTAGCATTTTGCTGGGTTAGAGGGGTCCTACATAATATGAGGTAACTATTCCAAAATTTTTGACATATCAGTGTATATGTAGGTAATAATATTTTTACCTGGTTTGTGAACTGGAGCTGAACAGGAAGAAGAAACTTGGCTATTGGCTTTTAGTTTAGATGTTGTCAGAGATCTTTGCCCATAGCCAGAACTGGGTAACTTGGAGAATTGGTTAGTTTTTTGCATTTTCATGTTATTAGCTGTAAGAAAAAAGATAGAAACATCAGTAAAAAAGAAAAGAAAAAAAGTTGTTCTAATTCACTAGAAGTAATTATACAGGAATATATACAATTATTTAATCATTCCCTAGAATATAATATACAGTAATCTCTATTGATTTGATTGGTTATGAAATGGCTGGTTATCATTTTAGTCTTGTGATTGAAATATAATCCTGACTTCTGATTATTGTGAGGTCTCACTTTGTTCAGAAAATATTTGTATAGAGAATGAGAGGTTAAACAAGGATGAAGTTTCTGTTTCAATCAAGTAACCTTCTTCATGTAACCACCTCCAATCAAATGGAAAGGTAGCACAGTGGGATTACAAGTAGACATTTGGCATTTTAGGAACATTTCCCAAATGATTTATGCTATATCTAGTCTGAAAGTAGACAGTCTCAGGATTTTAAAAATTGGTAAATTTGTCTTAACACCAAATATTTATGGATTTATGATCAATTAAAGTTATTGTGTCTTTTCTATGAATATTTTCATGGTAATTGTTCTAATGAGCTTTCCTCTTTGGTACTGAGACTTTATGAATTTAAGTACATTACTAGATTGGTGACAAGGTCACATCATTTTACAGTTGAAATGGCTAGCTATAACACCAAATTCTATGCTAACAGTTTCTTCTTTCACACTTCTAACTTGTGGAACTCTCTTCCAACTTTTTGTTTTCCAGCCAACTTTGACCTTCAAAAATTTAAATGCAATGTCAATCATTATCTTCTGTCTTTTTAATTCCTGTTCTTTTATTGTTCTTTTTCCTTAATGTTTTTCTTTTTCTCATATTCTTTCACACTCAATAACCTCTTGCTTCCTTGGGACTTTATTTGCCTTTCTTAGGGTGGAATGATTAAGAAAAAATAAAAACTAGCACATGTTTAATCATTTATTTTTAGATGATCAGTGCTGGATAGCTGCATTTTCTATCTCTTTTTGCTCAGAAAGTCATTGGAATCTTGTTGAAATAAAAGTGACAAGCAGGTTTAACTTAAAGTGCTTTTTCAAAAATGATCTATATCAAGCAGATTATAGGACCCTACAAATTCAGTTAAATTAACACAATTTTTTGTCATATTTTTACCTGTTTTTTGTCCCAGACACCCACTAACTTCATACACACACACATTTATGTGGCACTATTAGCAAATGTTGAAAGGGAATTAAAATTTTTAAAAAAAGAAAGGAGAGGAGAGTGAGGGGGAAATTTGGGGAATAAAATTTAACTAGGCGAAAAGTCAGTTTTGGTATAGAAAGAGAGATATACCAATACCTTGGATGAAAAAGAACAGGTTGAGATGTTTTTTTTTATTTCCTTTCTTTCCCTTCTTCTTCGAAAGCCCTGGGCAAAGTTGAATCATCCAGCACTAATTAGACATGATGTCTCCTTATTTTGCTTTACTAGCTAGGACCAACAGATGATGTATGGGGAAGAGACCACCCAAGAGCAAATAAGAATTTTATGATGACATTAAAAGTAACACATGTTTTTCGTTGGGCACCCATGGGTCAGGTAGAGCATCTATTCCCTGGATGGTAGCAGCATGAGAAGCTGATATGAGGAAGTGGGAGGAAAATGAATACATCCACTGAAAGATAGTGGTGTGAGGTGTGAGCAGGGGGTCGGCAACAAGATGGCAGATCAATGTGTTGCTACCACCACTCCTGCAGGGTGTCAGGGGGAGCTCCCTATATTTGGGCATACAAGAGCCACCCAGCAGCACCTGTGGAGAAATTTGATTGGTTGACAGGAGATTCAAAAGCATCCCAGAACAAGTCAACCCCAACATGTTTTTTTGAGCTTGGACTCCATAAATAGCCATGCAAAGATCACAGAGGGAGATTCTTTTTTGCTTTCAAGACACTGTTCCAGCTATCGGCCAAGAGGCTAGTTTGCCCAAAACCTACATGATAGTAAGACCCTTGACTCTGGCCTTATCACAACCTACTACCCAGACTAATGAAGTGTCCTGGCAAAAAGAAGATTACAAAGTAAGATTAGTTGTGAAACCACATACAACAGCAGACAGATGCAACTGCTGTTGGTACCTGCGATTGTTACACCAAAAGTGCCACTAGATAGACAAAAAAGGGTCGGGTACTGTGCTGTATGCTACAGTTTCAAACAGCTTAGAACATATGTATATAAAGTTTACCTCATATATACCTGCCTTTAATTTTCACTTGGATGACTGCAGTGAGCTGATATTATGACTAGCATCAGTGATCTCGTGATCGACGCAAAATATTTAGTGCAGTAACTAAGAAAACAACTATTTTATATATATATATATATATATATATATATATATATATATATGTACACACACACACACACATATATATATATCCAATTCATCAGATGGAATATTAGTGTTTGAACCTTTTTTATGATCTTATATTCTTGCTCTGTCTGGATTCTATCCTTTTGGAAATTTATATATATATATATATATATATATACTCACACACACACACATACATACATACATACATACATATACACACACATATATACTTGTACAAGGCTCTTTTAAAACAAAATTACAAAATATGGGAAATTAGCTTTTTCTAGAACTATATATTATAAAATTTTTCTTACTTGACTTCTTGGGTTGTGTAGGAGGAATAGGATCTTTTTCCTGACATTTCATTTTAGTTTGAATTATTTCCTATAAAGCAAAGAAGTATAAGAAAAATAAGATTTAAAATTAAATAAAATTCTAATGTAATTTGTGTGTGTAAGTATGAGGTCTGATCAAAAAGTGTTGGGACTGGTGCTATAAAAAAAAAACTACAACACATATCAATTTGGTGTTTAATCTCCTTTGAAATAGTCCCCTTCTGAAGCCACACACTTTATCCAGCATCATTTCTGTTGATGGAAGCATTCCTGAAACTCCTTTTTTGAGATAGCAATCAGCTACCTCATAGCATTCTCTTGGATTTCTTCAACATCTTGAAATCTTGTTCCATTCAAGTGGAATTTGATTTTTGGAAAGAGGAAAAGTTTCAAGGGACAAGATTTGGGGAATATGGCAGTTGTTAGACCTGGGAAATGTTGTTCTTGGCTGTACAAGCTGCATGGAATGGGCAGATGTGTTGTCATGATGGAGTTTCAACTCACTTCTGTCCTTTTCCAACAAACTGCATCCAGCAAATGCCACACCACATCACAGTAGTACTCCTTGTTTACTGTCTGATCAGAGGGGGGGAAGCATACTCATAATGTCAACAGTGTCTTCACATTGCTTTGACTCATTTGTGCTTTCTTTGTTCTCGAAGAGGTTGGGGTTTTCCACTGCAGAGACTGAGTCTTGATTTTGGGATCATAACCATAGACCCATGATTTGTCACCTGTTACTATGACCATTTTCAAAAACTTTTCTATGGCATGGTGAGACAATCACACTTTCCACATTATAATTTAGCATGTATGTTCAACAGCATTCAAAGTCAATCTGTGTCAAGCAGATTCACACTGTACTTTAGATCTATTATCATAGCAACAATCCAAATGCTTTTTGCTCAGACCTCATAAATATCAAAAGCTATAAGCTTTTTTTAATAAAGGAAAAAAAGAGGATTTATAACTCTGAATATAATCTTATGCTACTTTATTAAAGATTATTTTTACATTTAGACACATCTTGGCATTGAAACTGGAAGCAAAAAATTTCTCCTTTAGTAGAAGAGAAAAATCAAAATTCAAACAAACGTGTACCCTCTACAAACCTTACAACATTGTAAACAGATTTATATTTTATCATTGGATATATTTTTATTTTAAATGTTATACTTGCTATTAAAAGTAATATGTTTTTCTATTGAAAGAACTAACAAGGAAAGTTATGAAGGGGTTCCAAAAAGTTCTTGGTCTAATCCACTTTCCATGATCTATATCAAGCAGATTTTTTTTTTTGGAAGAGCTACTTTGGTTGGGCAGAGAACTTTTCCGTACCCCTTCATATTCTAAGATTTATAAGAAGATTTTCACAAGAGTTAAAAAGCATAATATTTCATGCTTACCATTGATGCAGCAACAGAAGTGCTAAGATCATGATCAGGACTTTGAGCAACTACTGCTGGCATTAGATCAAAACCATAAACCACGGGTGTTGGCTGCTCAAGAGAAGAATCAGTATCTAACAAAAGAAAGAAAGATTTTTTTCTGAAGTTGGTTACAGTTATGGAATTTAAATCACCTTTATTAGGGTAAAAATACAGAAAATAAATGAAAACATTAAATATTAAAGAGAACAATTTCATAAAGGAATGAAAAGTTGTAGAAAGAAATCATTGTCAGAGTAAGACAATGATCCAACCTATGGAATATGGTGTGTCACTGGCCAAGAAACTGATGTGGATCAATGCCAGTTTCATGACAACTGCTATTTTGCTGGAGGAGAAAGGGTCAGCTATTGAAGGTGCATGTTGGTTACATCCAGTTAATGATGCACAATATATTAATCTGGCAGAGTTTAATGCCATGCTAAAAGGCTAGTACTTCAGCAACAAGTGAAATTGATTCACCTAAAAATTTCACTTGCACTTTTAATTCCATACAGCATTCTTTTCCATTTTAATAAGCCTATTTTATAGTCACCAAAAATGCTCAGATCCCCATCCCTTTTTCTTAAAATTACTTATGGGAAGGCCCATTTGCTCTCTCCTGATGGAACTCATTCAAGTAGATCTTGTTCCAGTAATTGTTTTAGTTTTATCCACAACTATTGATAGTAGATAGACTGTCACTTTTTATGCTTGAAAATATGAGGGGGAGACATTTTTCTTTAGTCTTAAATTGTGGTGTAGTGTTGTTACTGACTCATGAGAAGTAGTATGCACTCAACTGCCTCATGGGCAGTAGCCATAGCTATTTATAGTTTCTGTGACTTCATACATAAACAAGTAACTTCTGTGAAGGAGTACCTAATGTAAATGACCACCTGCCAGTGATCCAAAACTCAGAGGGGAGTATAGAAATTAATCCAGCAAGTGAAGAGAAGACACTTCAAATTAGATGCATCTGGTACAATGAAAACAATCAGTTTCTGCCTTGAAGGGTTTGTTGATATTTTCTCCAACAAGAGTTTTCCCTTTTCATATTTGGCTGTTTGGAGAAAGTAATGAGACAATGCAGGTAACACTGTTGATAAGATTTGCATAGGTTTGTTGCATAAAAACAATAATGCTTGCTTATTGGTCAAATCATAGCCAATCTCTAGTTGGGACAAGCATGCTTAAGACTGGCATTTTTTGAAGGAAGGAATATTATTTCAAGCTCTGTGGGAAGGACAGAAACTTGTCTGTCTGTATGGATTCATTTTCTCCTGTGTTTTGCTTACAAAAGTAAACATTTTTTAAATAGATAATAAAAGTTGGGTATATAGAAATAAAAAAAGCTGAATATCTACCTTGCTTACTGAGTCTTGCTGATGGTTCAGGCTCTGAATTCTTAAACATATCATTGATGGTGAGCTTATTAGTACCTGAATCTGTTAAAGTATAAATTATTCATAATATTTAATGAACAAAAAAAACATTATCAAAATTGTAAAGAACAAATGAGAATTATGCACTAAACCAATTTTCATGGAATCAAATATCTAAACAGAAAATGGCGCATATAATTTTGAAAATAATTTCTAAAACATTTTATAATGTTGAATCTTCTGGAAAGCATAAAAATGCATTTTAAATTTTAAAACAAATTTATTTATATATTCAACTCTATATTTCTAATGTCTCCTGAACTTTGAAATTTTATTTACTAATTACTTGTTCATTTTTTTCCCTCCTCAATAAGTGTAGATAGGTTTGCCTATCATCTGGTTCACACTCTAGGTCTTCTTGTTTCCTGTTTAGGATTGGGTTTCTGGTTACTTCTAAAGTTTTTTCATTCTCTTTCACTCCTAGTAACCCCTTGTATTTTAGTGGCATTATTGCCTTGCTTGGGGTGAATTGATTAAAAGAAATATTACATGTATGCAAATGTTTCCAATGTATTTTTTAATTAAAAGAATGGTTTTCTACTGTATATTCACTCTCAAGTTTTCAAAATGGAGGCACTGGGTGCTTTTACCTACACTTAATACTATTTTGTACCAAATGCAGATGCTGTTTGAAATAGTCGTACCAGTTGGAAATTTTTTAACTTACAAAGTGTGGTGGTTCAAAATAAATATTTTAGCAGGAATTTTTGATTCTTGAAACAAAATCATCTTGCTGTGGAGAAGATTAATTGAAAAATAATACGCATATTCTATTAAATAAGCACTGTGTTGGGGAAGGGGAATTGAAGGAAATAATTTAGTCATGCTGGAATTTGTATTTGGTACACAATAGTACACACTTTAGTTCTTAACATGTACAAAAGTTTGCATTATTATGTTAATCATTTTTTCATTGCTTTTCAGTTTATGGCTGAATTTTGTTAGAAATATTTAATCATTGGGCATGGCTGATTCAGATTAATTTTGAAACACAACAGACACTCATGGTGGGCAATAGGTTATGTGTTTAAGGAATTAATCCTAACCAACCATATGCAATGACAATGCTTTCATGTTTTACTAGAAGAGTAGAATATAGTTTATGTGTGTTTGTTTATAAAGCAAGACATGAAATGAAAGTGGGAAAACAGGCCATCAAAATGTTACAAATAAAGTAACAAAACATAAACCTGAATGCAATAATATATTCTTGTTGACTTTTTGCCAATTAGAAAATAAAAGAATTCAACCATGGAATGATTTAAGCTTGTTTTCTGTTTTAAGGAAAGAGTGCAAAATAGGAAATTGATGATATATAGTGTAGGATAGACACTGAAGAGATATAATTTGGTTTGTACAATTGGCTTTTACTTTGTCTCCTTCAAATAGGCAAAACCAATATATTTTAATACATTTCAAAGTAAAATGTGTTAATATTAAGTTATATATTTCCATACCTAGCTCAAGAACTGTATAATTTTATCTCTCATTGTAATGATTGTTCCAATAATAGGTTTTTGGTACTTTTTTCATCAACAAATTAGTTTATATTATCACTTTAAACAATTCATATTTTATACTTATATTAATAAATAATACATAAGACTGTTTTATCTACATCTTTTGTAATTTTTATGTATATATGTAACAATTATGCACAATACAAAATATAAGCATTTAAATATCTACATATTGATATTAAAGAATTCACAAGTGTAAGTATTTGAATCATATGTCACCTATAACATCAGAACCACCATTTGCTGGGACAGTTTCTGAGGGGCTTTGTATGTGGGATTCATCTGTTAATTGGGTTGCTGCTTCTACAGATTCTGTTCTATGAATATTACTTGGAAATTGATGATCAGGAGGAGATCTATCAGCTGGTGGTATTGTTGATGACATATCAATATTCTGTAAAGCAACATGTAAATCCTCCATCTCCTGGCTTGTGACTGTACCACTATACTCTAGACAAAAATAAAATGTCAATGTATATAAATTATGAAATTTCATTCATTCATTTGAAAACTGATCTTACTGTATTTTCTTGAATATAATATAACCCTGTACTTCTGAGGCTAAAAACAGAGAATAAATTACATCCTTGATTATAATACAACCCCATAATACAGGCATCCCTCTGTAATTTCTTTTTAAAGTTGTACCACATTATTCATTAAAATATCAATGTTGAACATATATTGCATTAAAATATTTCATTTTTTTGTGATATTAAATAGAAATGAACCTGATATTTAGCCATTATGTGTTTCTTCTCTTAATTTGTTTCAAAACTTATTTTTGATATTCACAGTAATACATTTTAAGGTGTTAATCATACTTTTCTGTTTGATATGACTATTATATTTCTATATACTAATAAACTATGAAAATAAAAAATATTGTGTTTCATTAAGAATGAAGAGAGAAAACTTTATAAACAAACAAGGAAATCAAAATATAAACAAACTTTACCTTGTGAGCAAAACTGAATGTATTTGTAATCTTTCTGTTTGAAATAAGAGTTTTTTGTAAGCTGAGTAAAATTGTTTGAAATGTGTACTTATGTAAAATAGAACATTCATTTTTTGCCTATAATTTTTGTTCAAAATTTCTTGTATTATGCACAAGGAAATATGCTACATTATAAAGCAATATTTTGATCTTAAAAAAAATTAAATGTAATGTCAATCATTATCTTCTGTCTTTTTAATTCCTGTTCTTTTATTATTCTCTCTCCATAATAAAGTTTTCTTTTTCTCATATTCTCTCACATTCAGTAACCCCTTGCATCTTAGTGGCTTTACTGCCATTTTAGGGATGGAATGATTAAAAAAAACAAAAAACTTTCACCTACCTTTGTGTGTAGGAACAAATTCAGTATCTTTTAAGACGTCTTTGTTGTGTTCTTTACTGACAAGAGGAGAATTTCCAGTATCTACTTGAATTGATGTTCCTGTTGTATTTAAGGAGGATCCCATTGAATCCATCAGAGACACTAGAAATAGAATTAACATAAAAAGATTCGGACAACAGCAACATATTTTATGGTTTAAAAATAATGACACACTGAAATTTTTAAATTTACCTTTTGATAATAAACTTGGTTTTTGTTGAGTTGGAGGTGTCTGAAAATGTAAAAGAGAAAAAGGCAGAGATTAATTTCAAAATAAAATTTGAGATGATTTTGTTTTTTAATAGAGACTTTAATGAGAAATCAAAGCATTACTTAATTATTGTGCTTGAAACACTATGCTGTACATTTAATTTAATTTTTTTCATTAGGTACTGGGTTAACAGTGACTGAATATTTTGTCAGTGATGCATGAATAAAAAATATTTTTTTATTAGTCACCAGAAAAGTTTTACAGGGTTCCATAGATCTGTGTAAAAAAAAAAATTCCAGGAATATGTTAAGAAGTTTCAAGGACTGAAACTGATGCACATGCACACACACAAAGTGAATGGTCATCAATTTCAAAAACACACAAAGTTTGTGATTTTTCTTTTAATAGTTTGACAGATGAGATGTTCAAAGAAAAGCTACAGCTGGTTCCAATAATTCATGTCATATGGATCAATTGAAAGCAGTGAAGAAATCAAAATGTTGAAAGCTGAAACACAACTCAATGCAAACCTGGTTATGTTACACATTTTGTGTAGCATTCTACAAAGTTTGGTGTTTCTACTACACTTGAACATTTTGGATTACACACTTTAATTTTTACTGTTATTTGAATGTCACAAAATTGATTGTTGCACATTTCCTGTGTAGTTAAGTATAATGGTTTTAATGAACAGAACTACAAATACAAATTCTCACAAAAAACTATGCTATCTACCTACCCTTACTATTCATGGCTTCTGGTGCACATGGCATATAACACAATGATAACATTTTTTCAGTTTATCAGGTTTAACATTCAGCTATTCCAATTTTGATATCTCTATGGACTTGTCCTTTGCAGATCTTTGCATGGCATTGGACTTTGTGATAAGTGTGACATTCTGAGTTTGCTCAGCTTTCTCTGCATAGCTGTCAGCTGACTTGAGCAAATCTTGTGTGCAACTTTCAAGCATTTTTGGTCTTCAGTTCTTCAATTTCCATAAGCATGGATTTCCGCTTTTTGTCCCATTATTTATTCCTGACTTTTTTTCTTCTCAGCCTCAAGGTATTAGTTGTATGCTGTTCTGGGATTGGAAGCACTACAGAGAAGAGCCTTAGTAATGAAAACATTCCCAGCATCTCAAAATTTGGCCAAATAGTCCATGAAAATGCACTGTGCAATCAGAATCTGGTGTTTCATATTGTCAGTGGAAATTTCCTTATTGACTGAAAAACCACTCTTCACTGACATCTATCCATGAGAGTACCAGCAATCTGTAAACAACTTTCCACAGTTTTTTAGATTCTTTGGTGCTAGACAAAGTGTCCAGACAGTCTTCATGCATGCTGAATTTCTTGAAAGCAATATTTCCTGCAGCCTCCTCAAACTCTTTATATTGACTGATGATGTCATTACAATCAGACTTGCTGACTTGTTTTTTGTCCATCATGTGGAAGACATTTTTTAGATTGCCTTCTGTGACAGATTTTTTTTCATAAATGGATCCAAGGTTCAGCCATGCAAGTGACCTTACAACAGGGTATCTAAGAGGAGACTTTGCCAGATGATGAACATCTTTGCTGCAATTCTGCATGCAATCAGATCTTTTGATGACACATTTCCTTTTTTTGGATAAATTTTGCATAGCCTTATCTGCCAGAAATCCATGCTCAATTTTCTATCCTATCCTAAGAAGCATCAAAGGCACATTTTTTATCCTATCATCCTTCCTGTCTACATTTTCTTTGAGTCAAATTTGATTCCTAAACTTGTTACTTTTGGCAACAAATAAGACAAATGTGGTTTACACATAGATACAAATTGACACATGACGCATAAAGTATCAATTTTTTTAGCTTGAACACACCCACCACTTACTGGAGATCAAAGGATTTTTTACTTTTGAAATTGACACGTGAATAAAATTTCTTCAATTGTTCAAATTTTAAAAAACACTGATAATTTTTTTGAGATTATACTAAAGTATTTTATTACTGTAAAATAATTTATTTTTATTTCAATTACAAATTCATTGTGTGAATTTATCTTTGATGAAGATGTTTATTTGTCTCTAATGCCTTTTATCTTTGCTTTTCCTCTTTTCTCATTGGTAGCAGTTAGGAGAAGACATGCCTTCATATTCTTTCTCCATTTCTTTCTTGTCATCTAGACAAGAAAATACAGAAGTAACTATGAGGTCATGAATGCGTTCTAATCAAGGAAACAATCCACTATTTGCAATAATTGCCAAATATTACTGACAACAAAAAAAACAACATTTTTCTTAAATGAAAATTTTAGCTTGTGTAAACAGTCAGATTTTTGGGATGTGTCATTTTGACTTTCATGATCTGAGAAAAAAGATGTGTGGGCAGTCCAATTTAGAAAATTCCTGGATTTTTCATTGAGTTTTTGGACTATTGCTGTTTATCCAGAACTTTTTAAGCCCTGGAAAAGGTCCTGTCAATTATCATGAGAAATATATTTTGTTGTGGGAATGGAAAGTATTATCATTTTTATGTCTCCTGGTACATTTGTCCCATAAATGTGAGTCTGGTTAAAAAAAGAAAAAAAACATAGAATTCAAACAAACAACAATTAATAAATGTATTAACAAGACATGTTACTGAAAGAAAAACAAAGAAACAGAGTTATGAACAGTTCAATACAATCTTCAGTCTGTGTTGCCATACCAAAAGTCAAAGGGAAAAGAATAGCCTTTCAAATATTGCAACACCTGTGATTTTTCTCAGAGGTTGGTAATCCAAGAATATATAACTACAAAATAAACTCTTCCCATGTACACATGTGTTTGTGTGCATATAGCGGAGTTATTTTATGAGCGCAGTTCTACAAGCTCTCTGACCACATAATCAGAGACCATCGTAGAATCCAAAGATACGGTGTTGTGGATAATTTGTCATGCATTTCAGTCATAAATCTCCTAGTTGTGGTAAAAATAAATAAAATTCAGTGAATTCCAGAAAAAAAGTACCTTCACTTGTCAATTCAAGTTATCAAAAGGTGAATTCCAATATAATTTTAACAGTTAAATATCCAATATCACACAAGTAACTAATTAACTTTTTAAAATAGGGATTCATTAAGAGAAACATGAAACAAACCTCAGAAGGTTCTTTGCCATAGGCACTATTTAAGATTGGTGAATTTTCATTGTTTCCACCAACATTTAAGTCCATTGATGTAGTCTTACTGAGTTGTTGATTCAAGAGACCATAATCCAATGTGCCACTAGCATCCTGTTCAAGTTCCTAAATACAATCATAAAGAGAAATAAAAATTTGAAAATAAATATGAGTAGATTTTAATTTCAAAATTAAACTTGTAGCATTCAGTAATAGGTAAACACATTATATCATGTAATCTCTTACAATTTTAGTAATTTAATCATTATAAGTAAAATATATAATGGTCTCTAATGATTATTTGAGGATCTTCAATCAAAATACAGCACAACAATATAAGGAAATACATATATATATATCTATGTCTTGTTTATTCATTTTAGTATTAGCCATGCTCATTTTCTTACTTTCTCAGCATAGGAAATTTAATATTCACTCGATTGAATATAATTATCTTCTTATTAGCAGAAAAACAAATGCATCTACATGTATATACAAGTATAAGTAGAATGTATGAGAGACTGAAAGATCAAGTTGTAGAGAAAAGTTTGCTAACCCTTACGAACAACAGTCACAAGATACAAACAATCATGAACCCCAGGCATATAAGCCCACAATTATTATCCATATGTAATCAATACTGTATATTCTGTTAGTATCATAATATATATATATATATATTTTTTTTTAGTATTGATGATAACCAGTAGACAGCTTCCTACTGCTACTGTAAGTCTTTTGTTCATCTCAGGATACCATACAGTATCTTCACAAACCCCAACCCCAGTCTGACAGTCATGTTTTGTATGTACACCAAGAATACCTGCCTTATGACCACATTTTGTGTACTATTGAAAATTAGCAATTTGGACTTGTTAGTATTAAATCCTCAAATATTTTTTCTCCCAAAAGATAGCTAGTTAATTATATGGTGTGCTTTACCCCTTGTAGCATCCTTATATACAGGAAATACAGTAATGGCAGCCATATCAAATAAATTATTCATTTTGATATTATCTATGAATTTTATTAATATAATAGACCCATTTATGCATAAGCAAGTTTCAAAAGTCACAGTAATTTTACAAGTTTTGCTTCAAGCAAGCAAGCAAACACACACACATGCATGCATATATAAGAGGGTGCTGAAAAGTTCTTAGCTTGATTCACTTCCCAAAATCTGACCAAATAGAATTTTGGGGAAAAGAGCTTCTTGATTAGGCAGATAATATTTCAGTACCTCCATGTGTGGTGATTTTCTAAGCATAGCCGTGGCACAAAAGCCCAAATTATTCAGTTATAATTGATCTAGTGAGACAAGCTGGCCAACCAACCATTGGACCACGTTGAAGTGTGTATGGGTGTATATGTGTAAAATCAAAAATTAATTTTGTTAATATTTTAATGTTTATTGACATAATCTACACAATTTGAATAATGACTCTTAAAAATTCCAAAAGTGGACAAAAACAAAATAACAAAGTAAAATAAAATATAAAGCTCAGTATTAACATTCTTCATAGGAAAAAACTTTTTAAAAATTTGGTACTATTCAATAATAGTTTACTAATAAAAAATACTGTTTTCTCCTCTGTTTAGAGGAGAAAACATTATATATATATATATATATATATATATATATATATATATATATATATCTGTAAATGGGAATTCTTTTTTAGAATTTAATTAACGAAGTACACTAAATTATAAATCTTTGAATGATAACTATATAAGTCACTATTATAAAAATTACTTACAGAGAAAAATTTCTGTTTATCCATCATTTCTTCCAAAGTATCTTGTCCTGGATGGCTGTTTTCTTGAAGTAAAGGTGGGCTTTCTGTATGCACCATTTTATCTATCAGAAAGAAAAAAAGAGTTTATTTTTCATTTAATAATATATTCCTATGAAATAACTGCAAGTTGAAGTCCTTGCTGTGTAGGTTGAATTTATACTGATGGTTCAAGATCATCTAAACTTATTTCCTGGCTAAACAGTAAACATTAAATAAAAGAGATAATCCAACCAACTGACTGGGCAGCTTTCAGTATATGCACAGGTTCCAAAATACTTGGTATATCAACAGTACTCAGGCCACATATACACTGTATATCATCATCAGGCCTGTATTCTCACATATATACAATCACACAGATGGTGAATACTGTGAAACTTTATTTCATGCCTCTTGCACATTGACACAATATAATAAGAGTTGTAGGTGAGCTTATTGAATGAGTCAGGCATTGTCCCATCATGCTCAATAGCCATGGCACCCCACTCCAGAAGTTGGGCTTGTGTATCAAAAGCAAAGACACTCTGGAAGATGACACTCCCTAGGTCAATGTCACATATATAAATGACCATCATTTGCATGAAAGCAAAATCTGCCCTCATTGCTGAAAACTACAGAATGTCATTTGATCTTCCCATCCCAGCTGACCCAATCCTAACACCACTGGAGATGTAAATTGTAGTATTGTGGCACATTTGAAAGTCTGACTTGAGATATGCAGGTCTGTAATCCTACCACATTCTTAATAGTCTGATGCATTGATATTGGTGAACAGCTGTACTATACAGTTGTCCAAAACCTGGTTTATTGGTGTAAGAATGTTCATTTGACTGCTGATGCCAACAATGAAGCATCATCAACACATCATATTCAACATGTGCAGCAATTCTCCAAAGTGACTAAACAGCCTCTTGAAGAGAAATCTACAATCTGACCTTTCTCAAATAGCTCTAACTGAACAAATTATTAACACCCCCCCAAATTATTCTGTTAATTAATTTTGTGTTTTTGTTATTGTAAATTGATTTTAATTATTAAAACTATGTATACTGGTAATATCTATAAATGTATCATAATGAAATAAGTATTTTCTTCATCTTCTGTGAAACAAATTGTACAAGTAACAAAAATAACAATAAATTTTGTAAAGATTATCAAAATTATTGTTTCTGAAATTCACATTTTTTGTAAAGTATTTTCAGATTTCACTGATACACAATTTTGTAAAATTCTGAAATTGCTTTCTGATTGTATTATACAATTATATTTTCTGTAATCAATTGGCATAAATACATTAACTCATTATTTTTGCAATATTATCTAAAAATGTCTAATTTATAGGGAATAAAGTGATTTTTGTGCATTTAATTATTTTATGGTATTTTTGTTCTTTCTTTGGACATTTGCGTTTATAGAAATAAGTCAATAATTGTAAAATGTTTCATAATATTATATATATTTTCTGATCAACTAATTACTGGACATTACTAACAAGTTCCTTACTAAAAATGTTCCCGTTGTTATTTAGGTCTCCACATGTTCACCCCCAGTCATTGACTCTAGTTGCATGGTTGTCATCAGGCCTGGTATAAGGATCAACTTGATCACAGTTTAAGCATCACACAGACAGTGCACTGGTATGAGAATTACTGTCATAAGATGGCTGAAGACTTAAAAAATTTTATCAAAATATCTACTACCAATGGGCATGTGCATAGTGTACTCAAGTTAAAATTGTCATCATACTTCAAGACATTGCAATTTTATTTACCATCAGTGTAATTAATATAACACCACAAAAAAATGCTGGTATATTTTGACATATTTAAAAAGTAAAAATAGAATGTAACCTTCATAGTTTTGAATAATAGTATGCACTCATGTTTAAATTTGAAAATCAATCAACTCCAGATCCAATTTTTCTTTTTATATTGTTTGTGAAAGATTATAAACCTAAAGAAGGACTTTATTACTTTGGTTAGACAAAGATGTCTTTTTCACTTCAAAAAAACATTTGATAATTGAGTATTTTATAACACTGAGCCTGATTGTTTTCAGTCACACTCTTTATGATTGAAAAATAGACATTATTTAAAAAAAAAATTTAATAATTAATAACGACCCAATTATGACAACTTATCTAAATATTTATCAAAAATAATAACAAAAGATCAGTGGAAAAATAATATAATTTTGTTTTTTATTTACAACATATATTTTCTCAACCAGCTAGAAATATCTATGTCAGTAAGATGATAGAATTTCAAAATATTCTGAAATAATTCTTACCTTCTGGTTGTTTAGCAGTGATGATAACAGGATCAGCCATTTGTGAAGTTGTTTCATTGATAACTACAGTTTTTTTCTGCATTCTGTTAAAACATCATGAAATAAAGTGATTTAACTAGATTAAATGATATTAACAAAATAAGTAATAATATCTATATAGTAGCTATATTTTTTGCCAGGATAATAGTGCCCATAATCCTTAACAGTTCCTTCTATCTTTGTTTTGAATAAATTCATCATGAAGATTGAGATCATTTCTAAGTAGGAATTTGCATCTCGTTTCTAGTTAAATTTGCTGTCACTATCAGTGATTTCTTCCTTCTTTATGCTAAAAGTCATGTATTTTGGTATTACCAGAGAGAATGTTGCTCAACATTGATCAAGAAAGAACAATAACTGAATTTTTAAAATCCTAATAAAATAAGACTTAGTCACCAAAAGGCTCAAATCATCCATTTGCTAGTCATTTTTTTAAAATTAAAATATATTCCTGTTTCTTCAATGGAAGCAAATAAAAATAGAATTTAATCAATGATATAACATGAAAAATGTCTGGATAATGGTAATCAATGACTTTTCTTTTGGAATATATTTGGAGAAATTTTCTTCCTGTGAATGTGTTTAACCTACTTTTTAAAATCTCAAGTCAATGTTATATAACTTACTTATTTCTTTTGCTTTCACTATCTTCTTCAGACTTTTCTGAAACTAGAAAAAGCAAAAATAATTACTTCAAGAAAAACATGCAAGAAAAATTGAGAAAATGAAAACATCAAGTTTAGAAGGAAAAAGACTAAGTTATTAAAGCAGAATAGATTTAAATTGTCATATTTACTGTCTTCCAAACTGTCTTTACTTATAGTTCCTTCATATCTCTTAATTCCTTTCTGATTATTCGATAACTGAAAGAAAAAAAACACCCATAATCAATTAACAAAATTAATATTTTTGCCATTTGCTTCAAATAAATAGAAATGAAATATGAAGTGAAAAGAAGCTTAAAAATGTTTTTATAGATTAATAAAATATAACAGAATAGGCATCTTTTCTTAGTTTTTAAAGGCTTCTAATTTTGATTATAATTTTAATTATTATTAATTCTTTTAACTTTTACCATGAACAGGATTAGATATACAGCTTCACAAAAAGTAACTAAAGATGATACACTGAACCTATATGTAAAGAACATATATCTTGTTTAAAAATATATGGAAGAGGTTTTCAGATAAAAACCTAAACATTTCTAATAACAAAGTAAAAGGTTTAAGTAAACAACAATTAATTTAAAAAAATTTTTTTCAAAATATTGGTTTGTTAACAATTACACATTCTTATAGTTGATAGAACAGATTAATTGTTAATAAAATATTCTATATAAACGATTATTAGATTTGTATTTTTTTATTTGTATACAAATTAATTTTTTTCATTTAGTTCAATTTTTTTTTAGAACTACATGTATTTATTTTACATAAATTATAAAGGGCATCATATATACAGGATAAGCATAGAGACTTTTTCTAATATCAAACATATATAGCACAAAACCTATTCTACATACAAACTTCATGAATTTCAACATATGATCCATGCATCACTCAGTATATTTATTATCGGTCTTTATATTAAAAGATAATTTATAATTTAATTTTCCAATCTGTGTCTAGAAGAAAGTAACTTCATTAGTAGCAGAGTAAAATCAGAATAAACATACTACAAATTTTAATAGGTTTTTAGTGTTTCACAGAAATCTAAATGCTTGTTTTTAAAAAAAATTAATTTTATGTAGTTCAGTCATGATCTATCTGTAAAGTTCATGAAGAGGAAAAAAACTATTAATCTCTGTAAGCTGCATTTTGAATCAATATAATTTTTAGAAACATTTTTTTCCAAAAATCAACATCTAGCAAAAATATGCATTTCAATTGTAAGCTATTTCTTCCTGGAATTATGGGAAAAAAATCAAAGATGAAAATTAAAATATTATTGTAGCTAATCAATATCATCAGTAAGTGCATTTAATTCTGATAATATTTCAATTTTCACGTTATCCTTTGCCAATGATTTGAAAAAAAAATCTTTATTATAATTGTATAGTGTGGCCATAGTTAGATGTAAAATAAATGACAGAACTGTCCAACAAACAGCATCGACCAAGTTTGCAATAAGCAATAACAAGAAAAAGAAAAGAACAGGGCAAAGTATAATAAAAAACAAGCAAGCAATATATACAAGGCAAATTATGAATAAAAAGGCAAAACAACAGTTGTATGGCAAAAAGTTCACAAACTAAGAATTGGGGTTAACACACAAGAGCAAACTTGGTTGAATGAATGCAGTGTTCCAACTTCAAGGCAAGACAGACCAGGACTGAGTCATACAACACCAAGAACTGGCCTATTTTATTGGCTAGGAAGAAATCCCAGTATGCATTTGTTTGCTTCTGCCTATAAATTGAAGAGGGGAAAGTATTTTGCGATCACTCCCAATTAGGATTGACAACAACAATGATCATCAATATTATTTATATATTTTCTAATAATAATAATAATAGCAAAATTAATCACTACTTTTCTCTGTTCATGAAAATTCATTAACTACAATTCAATTTTGTGGAGTTACATCAAGTTTAGCTTTTTTTTTCTTAATTAAAACTGTATTGAAATTAAGATGATATTTTTTTAATTCACAAAATGAAATCACATTTAAAATTGAAACAATAATAAATTTTAAAAATATTTGTTGAGAAGCCAACATTCAGATATTGCAAATACAAACTATCTGCCTACCTCTCCAATTCTTGCATATCTGTTGGAAACCCGTTCCACTTTGGTAGAGTTTTCTTTGAGAGCAGTTGCAAAATTTGATCTTTCATTTTCATTAGATTTCTTCTTTGAATCATTTGGTGTACTGTGTGTTGGTCCAGAGGTATTACTCTTCAGGAAAATATGGCCTTTACCTTTATAATTAAAATGATAAAATTTAGTCCAAAATCTTTTTACTTGCTATAGTCATTTCTTTATATTTTATTATTTTGACTATACATTCAACTTTGAAATGATGCAACATGCTTTGACTTTCAGTATGGAAAACCAGCAGTTAATCAGCATGTACACTATGTATTAGATCTTTATTTAAACTCAATACTCTAAAAATATATAAACTTCAAGAATTGAATGATAAAATAAAGAAAAAACACCCTCTTACATTGTTTTTCCTTTGAAAGGACATCTTCAGACTAATAATGGTTTTGTTGATGGAATCTAACATATGTAGGGGTTGAATAAAATACAAAAAATGCTGGCTGAGAAACACTAAAGAGGCTTAGCTTTAAATTTTAGGTTTTAAGGTTTCATTGTTTGCTGTATCCAGATTCATCTTAGCTGACCTTATTCAGCTTTCTATCATTTTTGTTTTTATTTTTATCACTATTGTTTTTAAATATGCCACATAGTAGTAGCAGCAGTTATGTTAGGTAAGGAGATATATTGTATAATCCTGGACAGAAATTTAGTATGGAAGATTCTGAAATTAGTGCACTTTCAACACATTTTCAACTTAATAAATTACTTTCTCTTTTAATTAAAGCTGTTAAGTTTAAGTTGAAATTATGGTAAGACTTATTATGATAAATGATTAATGCATTTTCAAGAACTGTACATGATTGTGCCTGTATTAATAATCTGTCACAAGTTCTAATAAACACAAGCAGATTCTACAGAGCAGATAACAAAAAGAAATTATTAAAAAATACTGAACCAAGTGAAATTTTGAAGTTCATTGAGAAGATTAGCCTTTAGAATAGAATATAAATTCACAATCTATTTCCGTATGGTTTATACTTGGAAAAGCCCTACAATCTATTTTTAAGGAAAAAGTTTATTACAATTTATTTTTATGCAAACTATATCTGGAAAAATCATTATATAATTTATATTTATCCCAAAAATTACTAATAAAATATTCACTTATAAAAAAAAAAAAAAGAAAACATTTTTATACAATTAAAAAATGTTTTGGCTTTAAATAACCCTTAAAGGGTTGATAAGTCATAAAATTAATCATTCAATCAATCAATCAATCAAGAGTGTACTATTTTGAAAAAATCACTTTTATGTCCATATAATTTTTTATTTAAATTCCCAGATGTTTCCTTATGTATTTCTTTGGATATTATTTTACAGTCTATTTTGTAAATTCTGCTTCAGGTTTGAGGTTGATATTATTTTGTTTTGTCTTAATTAAATCTATTATTGTTTTTGAAGTAGTTGTAAAAAGTTTTATATTAAGTTTAGATAAATTCTTTTCAGTTGTAGTTGTCGTTGAGTTGGTAGAGATTATTATGTGTCTACTTTTATCAAGATTATTTATACGGGATGTGGCAGAAATACCTCCCACATAATGGTAAGACACTAGCCTAGATGAAGATACCATTGCCGTTAATGTTGTACCATTATGTGGGAGGTATTTCTGCTGCATGCTGTATTATTTTCTTTTCTAATTCTGTGAATTCAGTAAGCAATATGAGAGAGAAAGAGAAAAGAGTTTTAAAAGAATGTTTAATGTATTTCTCTTCATCATGTAAATACTGAGGGCTACAAATTCAAGGTGCTTTTAAATAGAAACTGATTTAACTATAAATAATGGAATTGATTAAACTGACAATAAGGAATTCCTCCTTTTAGAAAAAATAAAAAATAGAGGTAAATATTTTATAAAAAATTAGACTATTGATGGATATTGTCAAAAGGACCGATTAGCTCAGACTGCTACTTTCATAGTATATAAGTATACATAAATGTTACATAATTGCTGATCATGAAAAATACAAATCAAATTTTTAATAAATTTCTTTCATACAATAAATTATATTAATGATAAAAACATGATGGTATTTATCAATCCACCCACGGGGACCGAATGTGGCACAAGGCCTTTTTAATGTGGGTATGTCTGAGCCCGTAGGCCCAGCCAAAAATAAAACCCATCTAAACCCGTCCAAGCGGGATAGTTCCGTCAACCTCCCCGAACGAAACACCGCCCTTCGGCGGAGCTTCTTCCGGGTTCCCCTCTGCAAGCAGAGAGTTCGACAGACACCCGACCCGGCAGCTCACAAAGCGCAGATACTACACTTTGATCCTAGCCACCGGGCCGAGCGAGTGAAGCTGACAACCCAATAGAGAAAAAAAAACCAATCTAATTAAAAAGCAATTTAAATCACCAATTTCATTGTCAGATTCATCATCATCCAACCACCATGGCTTAGATTCTGCTTTACGTAATATTTTCTCAGACTCTGCTGAATCATCTGACATAGCCTGAAAGACAAACAAAACAAAAGTCATAAAGATTGCTATTTCACACAATGCACAAAAATACAAAATCCTTTTTGAGAAACTAGCACTTAAAACATGTTTCAAGATTTGGTTTCCAAATTTTATCTGTTTTGAGAATAAAATCTTAAGTCATGAAATTACTGCTGCATTTTTTTAAGTTTAAACATTTTTGTCTATTTGTTTTCTGTTATATTTATGAGAGAGAGAAATATACATAGACAGGGTTACTATACCTGTAAAAGTATATTCATAATAAATTATAAAGCTATACTGGCATAGCGATGGAAAGTTCTCAAATGACTTTGATTACGAAATTTGATTTTATTTCAAATATAAACTTTATATATATATATATAATGTTACCAAAAGGTTCTCAGATCAAGCAACTTGCTAAAATAAATGAACAAGAATGATATTTTAAAATTTCTTTCCTTGGTCAGATTGAGAACTTTCAGCATCCTCTTGTAGACATGAATAACTGCAAATTAATAATAATTCTGGTATATTTTTCATTTTCACAATATCCACCAGATTTTTTTATAATCACTATCCCATTTTGAAATGAAAGAGAAGAGAAAAAAAAACTTTCAAATAAAATCTTGGAACTGACATAATTTTGTTAAAGTAAATAAATTAGTACTCATTTCCAACATTAATTTGTTGAAACAATGAAACTACAGTACAGAATGCAGAGACTTTTTTTTTTTTTTTGTTTTTTAACTATCAAAGAACAATTTCTGGAACTGTAGAAATTGCCTGTGAATTTCTGTACTGGATTATTATTATTTTTTTATTTTTTTTTTGCACTGGTAGATGGTAAGTCGAATAAAAAAGTAGTAACTCAAGGTGAAGGCAAAAATCTGATTTTCAATTTGTTAAGTGTTATTCTGCCTGAAATATTCAAATTTTTCCCACACCAAAACAAAAGTCATTAAAGATTGGGACATTTTAGTTTTTAAACAAATGAACTTATTTTCCAAGTGAAAAAAAAGGAAGCTTCAGTTTTTAAAATTAAAAAAAGCTAAGTAAAACAGAACTAATTAAAAGGAAGTACTTTACTTATTTTCCTTAAAATTGTAATCCTAATGAATGAATGTTTAAAAATGGAATGGTAAAAAAAAATAAGAAAAATTACGCTGCCCAATAAATGATTATCAATACAATGATATTCATATTTTAGTTTTAAAGTTTAATTTTTAGGCAATAATGCATATTTCTTCTGAAGCAGTAAATAACTCCATATATTCGGTATTGATTGAAAGCAGAATCCAATACTGTGTGAGTGTGTGTTATAGCGTACAATGCAATATAGTTTTCTTTTAATTTTATTTAAAAAAGAAAGAAAGAAGGCAATTAAGTAATTAAACCCACTTCTCACCTCATTGAGGAATGCTTCAATTTCTTGATCTAGTTTTCGATCTGATCGAGCCATTTTCTATTTGCAAGGTATTATTGTCTCTTCTTACAAAACTAAAACCAAAGCAGTAATTAGTAATTTATTACTTTTTTGGGAGGCTTTCCTTTGGTTACCCTTAGCAATGTTTACAAACGAACATTAAAACATCTCAAAGTAAATGACAGAACACAACGCTACTTTTTTTTAACTGTTTTCCATATTTAGATATTTCTGGGTGTTTCTGATATCAAATTAAAATATAAAACTTAAAAAGATTTGGAAAGCGAGCGTTTGAATTTGTTTCCTTTGAAACTGATCGGCAAATTTTCCGCCATTGTAAAAACATGTTTTGACAACACAACGACCGCTTCGTCGCTTACGATAAAATCAAGGAAGCTGCAGGTTGTTGTTATTTTTAAGGTTATTTTTCTTTAAAAATAAAAATGTGAATTCTTCTTTGTCCGCTACCTATAATCGGCAATTAACATTATACATTTAATTTTTGTATGATGTAGACAGTTTATTTGTTAATGATATAAGCGATGCTTTCGGTTTCCATAAAAAAAAGCCAGTATCAACTTGAAACTTGGCTTTCTTCTATTTTTTTTTGTTATCCGAAACATTTGAGATATATTGAATAGTCTCATTTAGTCTGCTTTACCTAATCTCATATTCTGAGAACACATTTTTCATCAAATTATTCCACTTATTTCTGTGACTGATAAAACTTGAAATTTATAAATTTAGTAACTAAATTTATAAATTCCAAGTTTTCTTAGTAATTAATTAAATTCAACCATTTGAACAAATACTCATTTTAGGACCACATTTTTTTAAAAAGTATGAAAAAACGACAACATTTTGATAGATGTGTGAGTTTTTTTATGTGGATTAAATAGTTGTTATGTTAATTAAAAAAAAATAGAAATCGATTATTGCATTTCGGGCGCTATTTTTTTCTCTAAGAAATATTTAACTTTAACCCATAGCTTGCGGGGAAGAAGAAGAGAGTTTTGTTATAAAATAAAATAAGACATATCTCGGCTGATTTACAGGCAAATACTCAAGAGCGAGAGCCGGATGTGAACGGGACAAAGCCCCGTCACAAAATGACCATTATCTTCGTTTACAAATGTTCCCGACACACGAGTTCCGGTTGAAAAATAAAATATTTAAAGTGTTCTATTTTTCGTCCAATAAAAATGCTTCACTCCTAATTATACTCGCTTCGTTTTTCGAGCCTGTTAAGCCATAAAAAAACGCTATAAAAGGGGTCACACGGAAGTTCAACAGGTGGCCAGGGTAGAGACCTGTCACGGCCAGCAGCTGTCAGCAGGGGAGCATCAACCACCGTCAACATGTGTGAACTACTATGAGAGATCGACCTAGATCCGAAGCCGGCTTATGAACTACACCACAAGGTAACTGTCCCAAACCCTCACGTTCCTGTTGAAATAAACCACGTAAATCTATTTCTGCTGTTGTCGTATTTCTTTCTTGCAACCATACGCTTGTCTATAACAGTTTCATGCTTTTTTTTTGTGCGAAAGGACTAGGAGGCTAGGATGGAATTTGAACTCGGCTCGCAGATTTCACTCCCGAAACATAAACTTAAAGTAATTTCGAAGCGATTAACTAATTTAATATTTTTTCCGATATTATTTATTGCTTCTAAACCAAGATCGTTAGCTAATATAAAAAGGCAAGGCTGAGAACAGACACAGATTCAAAATAAAAGCTCTATCTATTATTAACATCATACAAAACAATATTCCTACCACCAAAACAACACATTCATACTTACCTTTCTTACTACATCCACCAAAATACCTCATTGTTTCAATGAAAATCCTAAATAGTCCCCATATGTACAAATCGTTGTCTGTGAGGGGAATAAAAACAACTAGTTAAAAATCCCCAATGACTATATACAATATTGTTATAAAATTATTTACAAGAAACTAAACAAAATCATGTTAGTAATTAACAACAAACATTAAATGTGGCAGAAATAGTTAACTGAACGAAATCGATGTGGGACTATAAAAATATAGAAAGCATTCATCCATCTCAAGCACTCACACAGACACGCACTCATTCTGACACAACAACAAATACGAAAAAAAAAAAAAACACACGCGAAACAAAAGGCGCCTCGCATCCACCAGAGAACTGACATCACTGACCACCTAACGAGGGAGGGGATGGGGAGTTAAACTAAAGGAAAAAAGGGACAGAAATAAAAGGAGCCAATGAGCAAACAAACCCTAGCTAAGTTTACTTGAAAAGAAAAGAAAAACTAAAGAATCAAATACAAAAAACCTACTCTAGCCTAAATCCAGGGATGGGTTGCCCAAGTTCAACCCAGGAAAACAATATCCTGATGCCTAACCGGCATCAAAATGCCACTCCAGATCAGCCCCTTTTACTCGGCACAAGCGCGCAAGATTCCCCCACCTTTTGCCAAATTCTGATGAGATGAGCCGCCGCCTTTCCGTCCTAATCTGGACTTTAAGCTGGTGCTTAAAGAACAAGATCAGTTGGGAAGAAGTGAACTTCTCGCCATCATAGAATTCCTTCTGACGCGTCGTCCAAATCACGACTCTCATAACACCTAGTAAGCAAAAGAACAAATATTGTTCAGCCATCATCATCTGCGACACCACATTGCTACAAACAGAACTGGCCCCAAGGACAAAGAACTTTCCCTGTAGCATGCGGACCATGAGGCCTTTAACAAACTTGCACAACGGCGCTACTACCCTGCTATGAAAGAAGGCGTGACCAATGGTCTCGACTTCCCCAATACAGCGTCGGCAGTTTGGAAATTTCTCCAAGCCCGCTGAACAAAGTCTTTTGGCGACCCAGAGGGCCCCACGAATCACCAGCCAGGTGAGTGATGACTCGTCATTATTGAGACATTTCAACCCAGGCGCCCAAGGCCATATTGAGCGAGATTCCTACTTCGTAAGACCGAGTTCGTCAATCAGATCATCACGAACTTACTAATAGTTGATACAATGCCCTACGAGACAACGTCTGGATGTTGGAGAGGCCATCAGACGCCCATAAGAAGCGTTTCAGAGCATACGACATTCACGATAGAAGGAGCATTCGGCTCGGGGTAAACGGTGGGCCTCCACCTCGCTCGAGTGCACACTTCTCAGAGATGGGAAGTTTCTACGGACACATTCGGTCTAGGAAGGCGATGCGAAGCATATATTGACGAATCTCAATGCTAGGCATACCCAGACCGCCTTCAGATGGACGAAGGCAGCAGATCCCTCGAGATACCATAGCGGCCTTGTCTCTCCAAAAGAAAGAGAACAAGAGCCTTACTAATGACATTAGTGTGGTATACGGAAGTGGAAGTACAGAGAGTCGGTAAAGGAGAATCGGGTAGATGTGCGAAACACATACTTCCGCCTTCCACTTCAAGGAAAGATTCCTCCGAGACCACAGATTAACAGCGATCTCGGCCTTCCCTTGTACCTCCGGTCAATTCATTTCCAACTAGAGATCAGGACCGAACCAGACGCCGAGTATCTTGACCGGACCATCCGTCCAGATGAATGGTCCGGGAAGAGAAACTCCATTCTACGCACCCAACCGCAAGCCAACAGACTTATTGCGGTTGATCTTGGCCCTTGTCACCATCTCATAACCACTGATCTCTTTGCTGACTTCGTCAATCTCGGCTCTGCTCGACACAAGAACCGAAACGTCATCAGCATAGGCAGAATACCTGGCTGAGGTGGTAGCCCCAGACAGGGAAATTCCGCGCAGAACCGGATTCGCCTTTAACTTGCGAAGAAAAGGTTCCAACGCAAGAACGTAAAGCAAAGGTGAAAGCGGACAACCTTGACGAATGGAGCGGGACAATACGAAAGTCTCCGATCTTACTCCATTTATCTCCACCAGCGCACCGGGAGTCGCATACAAAAGTCGGATCCAGGAGCGAAAGTCCAGCCCGAAACCGGCCGCCGAAAGGACAGCCTCCAGAAAACGATGGTCAACCCTATCAAAGGCCTTGGACTGATCTAAATTGATCAGCGCGGCTTCACTGTCGACTTGTTCTAACATCAAGCGTACCGTATGGAGGTTGTCCTGAACTCTGTTGGGAGTCAATCAGACTAGACAGGTCAAGCTGCGGTTAACGGTTGGTTAAACTCTTCGCCAAAATCTTTAACTCTGTGTTTAACATGGTTAAAGGGCGAAACCCATCGCCACCGTTCTTGTCCTTACGCAGCAACTTGATCACATCCCAGGTGAAGCGTTGAGGTATAGACCCCTGCTTCATCCAGTTGTTGAAAATCAGTTCCAGCAAAGGCACAAAAACGGGCGACTCCCTCAAGTAAACTTCGTAAGGAAGACTATCTAGTCTCGGAGATTTATCCAGGTCAGCCTGTTTCAGCACTTCCCAGATTTCCGACTCTGTGATGGGACCCTCGCACCCAGCCGCTTAAGCTGCCTCGAGGCAGGGAAAGTCGGCTAAATAGGCGTCGAACTGAGCAGGGCTCAGATCGGTCTCCCTGTGAAAAGTTCCTGAGAGTAATCCCGAAAGGCCTCGCATATGCCCGCGTTTGTAGTGACGATCCGCTTATCTGGCAATGTGACGCACGCGATATGTCGCCGAGACGCGCTCCGATTTTCCTCTGCACGCAATTCAGCGGCCATATTCGTCGCCTCAGACGACATTCTTTTTAACCTAGCCCTAACTACCAGAGCTTGATCCTTCTTGATAAGCAAGGAGGACAACCCAGCCTTAGCTAAGGCTATTTCCTCACTATCACGGGATTTCTGCCCGATCAATTTTTCGTTCTAAAGCCGTTTGCGCCGCTAATCTATCTAGATTGAGTCGGACTAAAATCAGCAGCAAACGTTCTAATTTTGGATTTTAATTTATCCCACCAGGCGTTCCCTACAACCTCCCCGTCAATTCCTTCTGTATCATTATTAACAGCTGGTCCCGGAAATCTTGCTCACCAAATAAAGAACAGTTTACTTTCCAGTAGCCAGCCAACCTAACCTTAGGC